CACACAAGGCTTCTCAGAAAGAGAGAGAGAGACATGAGAAAATGCAGAAAGCAGAACACAGTGTGTAAATAACTTATTCTCACAATAACATCTCAGATAAGGCATACAAGTCTCACACTCATAAGTGTAAAAGAGTATGATATCTGTGTTTTTATTTCTGAAAACATGAATATTCTTCATCTGCATCATGAAGTTGAATAACAACTGTCAGAGAATAGGCTGATATGAGTTGATCATTCTGAAGATATTAGTCAGAGCAGATATACTCACAATATTGAATTTAACAGTTGTGAAAAGTTTCTTAGTGTCTGTGAATACCATGACTTTATACACAGTAAAACTCATAATAATTTCTTCTAAGAATAGAAAAATCAGTGTCAGAAAGAAAAGATGAAAAGAAAAAGACTTACAATCTCAACACTGTTAAAGAGAGAGATGATTCTCTGATATAAATGAACAATTTTCTCATCATGAATATTTAAAATAAATGTAATAATCAGTGTCTATGACTGAGCTTCAGATAGTTATGTTATATACAGTCTTTATACAATAAATTGTTCTGAGAGTTGATAAGAAGAGTAAAAGTGTACACACTGAGAGACATGGTTCACTGAGTCTATGCAATATCTTCTTGAAATGAGAAGAGCTAGTAATGAAGGCAGAGACAGTAAAACCAGAAGTAGTGAGAGTAGAGATTGCGGGAACAGAGGTAGTGAGAGCGGGAGAACCAGACACAGAGACAAGTGTAGAAGATTGAGAAGCAGTAGAGAAAGAAACAGAGAGAGAAGCAGCAGAGAAAGAAGTAGTAGAAGAAGTAAGAGAGAACACAGAAGACCTGATTATATATAATACAGATAATTTCTTCATTATTGCATTCTTCAAGTTCTTGATCAAGAATACAACATCAGGTTCACTATCATCAGCAGACACAGATCTGTCAATATGTGAAGATTCTATACAAATAAAAACAAACATATCAGCATCTGTGTTCACATAAAATTGTGTCAGAAAACATAATCAGAAACCTGCTGAGAAGAAAACAGTTAAGAGTGTATGAGAAGATGAAGAAGATGTGTTATCATTCATAATAATATGTTATTCTGATAATTGTTAGAAGATAAACAAGTTCTGATCATGTTTCATAACACATTACACTTACTGCTAATGAACTGCCTGGTATGAGTACTATGATAATGCTTGTTATAAGAATAAGAGACTATTGTCAGAAATGTGTACAATGTGATAGAGGGACAGATGAAAGGAGTTGAACAGAAGAAGAGATAGAAATCTTGAATGAGATGATGATATTTGATGATGATGAAATGAAGAAGATGGTTGAAGAATGAGAAAAGTTAGTGAATAAGTAATGTAATATAGTGAAAGTTTCTTTGTGAGAGTGTACACAGAACACTAGCTGAATCAGGAATAGGTCACACAATTGTGAAACACTAGTGATGAGCTAATTCACATGAAGCTAGGATGTACAACATGGTCACGTGAGTGTGACTGAATCTGATGAGAAAGGATGTGATTCAGAAGAACATACAACTGTCAGATAATACCGCGGCCGCTTCCAAGCTACTAGCATATGTGTACAAGTGTAAAGGGGCCATAGCGGCCGCTAATTAAATTAGCGTACAATATTACAATATATAAGAAGCCAGCGTACGCCTGTAATCATACGCTGGCTTAAGCAACCTTTGAATCACACTTCACTGTGTCTGACTGTGAGATTAAGTATTTTCATTTCACTCTTAACTCAGATGTAAGATCATGAATAAAGATCTGTAAACAGAAAGATGTTAAAAGCTCTTCATTTAATATAAGATAGTATAAACTGAAGTATATGAAGTATAATATAAGATTATTCACTTATCTACACTCAGTGAAGCATTTATAACATTTATCTTATATATTTACTTTCTCAAAGTTGTGTAAGATTCATTTGAAAAACTCATTTCATGTTTATAAAAATGAATATTACTTTAGATCTGTGAGATTCATCTTTTTATTAATTATTTATAATGACTTCACTTTTCTGTGTAGAAACATAACAGATCTTAAGACTTGTTGAAATTTCATTGACTATCTGTCTGTGAGTTCATATTCAATCTAATAATATAATTGCATCTGATTTAGTCAGCTGATTACAGCATTATTTTTTCAGTTATTATTAAAGCTTAATAACTTCAGCAGATCTCTCAGCTTGATATATTTCATACTCAGATTCTCATTCTGCACAGTGATCTCTGATGATGTGTATACTTCTGAAGAGATCATGAACAATCATGATAAGATCTTCAGATTTAATATAGTTATCTATCTGTGTAAACATTTGATCTTCTGCTGCAGATCTAAGATCTGATTTTCTCTATTCTTATTAATGATAATAATTGTGTCAGTGAAGCTCTTCATAGTGAATGCTTAATCTGCAGTAAATATCAATTATTATTTAGCTTCTGTCTCAGTCTGTCACTGTGTATACAAGATCTCAATCTCATTTAGAATTCTTATATATGTACAGAGCTTCAATTCTGATTTGACAGTCTCAGCTGCTTTTCTTACTACTTTAAGTAAACTCTCTAAAAGATTCTGCATATCTTCTGATTCAGATAGCAGAGAAGAGTGTTGTTTGTATCAGTTAGAGAAGATATTCATTTCAGTGATTTCTCATTAATTGTATAATGTCTATTGTTATATTACTGTATTATTATATCATTATATTATTATATCACTATATTATTATATAATTTCTGTTATCATTATACAACTCTGATAATGATCATCTCTTCTCTTTTATTTTTTTAAGTGAAGAGCAGTCTTCTTTGAATCTGATTCATCACTCTCATCTCTTTTCTCATATCTTATCTATTCATATACATGATATTCATCTGAGTGTGAAGTTTTCTCTTAATAAGTGAAGTAGTATCAATCAGATGCTCTTCTGCTCACTGCTCTTTATATACTATCTTTTGAGATGTTCTAGAATCACACTGACATGATAACTATGAATTGCTTTATAGATGAAATTATCACACTCTGAAGAAGTCTGTGCTTCTTATCAGTTTTTAGACATGCTATCAGATGTGATTCAAAGATTGCTTAAGTCAGCATATAATTACAGGCATACACTGACTTCTTATATATTGTAATATTATACACTAAATTAATTAGTGGCCGCTATGACCCTTTCTTTACACTCATACACTAGTAGTTCGGAAGCGGCCGCGTTATTATCTGACAGTTGTACATTCTTCCGAATCACAATTCTGCTAATAGACTCATTCAGTTCAGTAGAAGAGAGTGACTGATAGAAGCTACTCTGAGTGATTTATTCATTCTGCTTCATTATTATAACAGAGCTGATGAAGTTGTATAAAAGTGTAAAGATAAGTTTACTGTGACTGTAATTACATTTTAAACTGATCACTAGTGCTATAGTATTCTGAAGTGAAAGATGCTTAAATAATTATCAGTCAGATCTATCATCAGCTGTAGTGTTGAATAAGATAGATTTAAATAACTGCAGATCAGATTAATTACTAGCTGCAGTACTGAAGAAGATAGAATAGCTGAATAATTACAAGCTAGATTAATCACTAGCTGCAGTGTTAAAAGAAGGTAGAATAACTAACTAGACTGATTATCAGCTAGTCAATTCTCAGTATCTACAGCTCAGTTCAATTATCAGTGCTATATATATCAAGAACAGAGCAGAAGTTAAAGAGACTAGAAGAACTTGATTCTTAACAAGATATACTATTAAATTGTAGCATACACTGCTATATAAAGTCAGATATAAGAGTAAAAACTTGTCTTCTTCTCTAAAAGATAAGAGATGAGCGTACACTCTTATATATATAATGATTGTTTTATAGAGATTAACTCTTGTAGAAGAAGTAATCATCTATGAAGAAAAGAACAGAAACTCTGTAGAGAAGAAGTGAACACTCTTATAGAAGAAGTAATTATATATAAAGAAAAGAATAAAGACTCTGTAGAAAAGAAGTGAAAGCTCTTATAGAAGAAGTAATCACATATGAAGAGAAAAGCAGAGAGAGAAGATAGAAGTAAAAGCTTCAGAAAATAGTAAGAAATAAAGTGAAAGCTAGAGCTGAATAGAGAATTAACTTGAATAGAGAGTGAAAGTATATTATAGTTCTAATATCTTAACTTATTAATAATATAGTATTTTTATAAAATAGTGAAATATATTATATTCAGCACTTTTTAAAACAGAGATATTTAATAATAATTAATATTATACTATTTTACTTAAATAGAAGCTGAAATATCTTATTAATACTTTCTTCTTTATAAAATTCAATTATAATTCTAATCTAAATATTATTAACTTTCAGACTGCTTTTAAGATTATTCAGATTAATATATTAATCTGATTTAATCTACTTACTTCTATTTTAAAAAATATACTCAGTGTTTTAACTAGAGTCTCTGATAACTGAACAGATATTTTAATAGTAAGATTAGAATATTAAATAACTAGATATAATTATAATTGAAAAATTAGTAAATTATTCTTATATTTAAAATTATAGTAGCAGTTTTCAATATAATACTTTATACTCAGAATATATATATTTTTAGATAAAAATTATATTAATTAATAGAAAATAGAAAAATTAATTTTTTAAGATAATAGAGAAATAATCTATAAGTAATATTATATAGTGATTCTATCTTAAATATTATAATTAAAGTAAATCATTCTTATATTACTAATAAATAGAAACTGTTTTTTCTTAAATACTCTGTGAAGAGTTTACTGAGCCCTGTGACAGTTGATTGACTCAGATGTTAGCAGGACTTGGCAGAAAGTAGCAGTAGTTCAGATTGGGTTAGCTCGGAGTGGAGTGGCTGAGTTTACTGAGATAAGTAGCCTACAATATTATATATGAGATCACGTGCAGGCGGAGCGATCGCTACGGCAACGTCACTGGGGCGGGCGCTGCTACATGTCACGCGCTTTGGACGGTGTGGCGGTTGCGGGGCTTAGTCGCTGCCCGGGAACAAATGTCACCAGGTGCAAGCCTCCGCGTTCGGCCGCCGTGATGTCCATGATGCGCTGAGAGTCTGAATTTCGTTTTATTTCGAAATTCACCATATGGTAAAGGAACTCTTATATTCAAAGGTACCTCGCCTACGGGATCCTGTTGGATGATGCAGTGCTGTTTTTGGCTATTCCATCATACATAGTAGCTTGGTTGCTACACCGCTGCTGAGGTGGGGTTAACATTCAGGTGCCCAACCGATATTTATTTCTGTTGGAGTTCTCCGCATAGCGGGCTTGCGTTCTACCTTTTTCTCCGTATGCATCTCTATCACTTTTCACCCCCCTCACACCTTTTAAGGCTCCTAGCACACTATTCGCAATGGCAGCTTCCCTTTCCGGCCCGGGCAACGACTTGAGGGGAATCCTGGCGGCCCTCGAAAAGATACAGGTTGACAATTCCCACTTGTCCAGTTCCGTCGAGGAAATAAAGGAGAAAGTTGAGTTACTAGCTACCCATGATGATATTCCTGAGCCCGACGCAAAGGATGAAGCTCAAGTGCTCGGGTCTGCGCCAGCCCCAGCAGGAAAATATACTCCGCGTAAAACTTCTGGAACCTCTCGCATTATTCTTACCACTTACCCCGGCCAATCTGGGATAAACCCCATAGTTATGGACTGGGGGAACTCTGATCCAATCAAACGAGGACCAGTCGTAGTGAGCAGACACCCTGACACGGTGAAGAAAAGAAACGGTCAGTAAGGACAGTTTTTAGCCGACTACAAAGTCAACAAGAGAGCATCATTCATTACTGACAACGTCATTCGAAGCGATCGGTGCTCATGGTGGTTCCTATTCCATATACTACGCTCTTGCTGTAGCCAGCAAAGATCTCAATGTTGACCACCGCCCCGATTTCACTAATACGGAGCCTCCCGTCAACATTGGGCCTTTCCCCCAGTGGACAGATCCGAAAAAGATAGTTTCAATGGATCCATGGGGCCATCGTGCTCCATTCGACTTCACTGAGATGATCAAAAAGGGAGGCGTGGATATTCGGCCCACTATTGCCGTCACAAAAGCGCATATGAAATTGCCCGAATTGAAGCAGAGTGTCGAGACCGGCAGGTTGAAGGTGGACGGGAAAATATGCCTGAATGAGTCCGGGGAGCTGGCTGTGACGAAGATCGCTGTTGAACCAGTCTGGTACCTGCCAGGCGTAGCGGAAAGATTTGGCATCGGTAAGCAGATATCCTCCGTTTAACGATGGCGAATTAAATAGTAGAACGTTTACATACATACATGATTCTTACGGCTTGCTGAATTCATGACCTGTAGATGAAGGCACTCTGCGCAGATCACTTTTCGAAAATACAGGCGGTTCATACCCAGAGCTTATCACCAGGGGTGATATCAAGCTGTTCCTTCCACCCATTGGAGGCTTAACGGTGTACTGCTTCGGCGACCCTGCCAGGATGTCCGACCCAAATGTGAAATTGGCTCTTCGAGTTCATGACGAATGTAACGGCAGTGACGTTTTCGGATCTGATATCTGTACCTGCCGCCCTTACTTAATCTTCGGGATAGAAGAAGCTGTCAAGGAGGCTCAGCATGGGGGGAGTGGTGTTGTCATTTACTTTCGAAAGGAGGGTCGGGCCCTTGGAGAAGTCACAAAATACTTGGTCTACAATGCCCGTACGTTTTGTTGCTCTTGCCTACCTCCAACTTTTTCACCTGTATCTCTGATTTATCTGACCTTTTATCCTCTTTATCTAGGGAAGCGAGGATCTGATCGTAGGTGCCATCATCCTAGAATGCGAGAATAGCCCATCTAATCTAGAACATGTAGGTGCCAGTGAATATTTCAAAAGAACTGAAAATATTGCTGGAGTCAAGGTATGTTATCTATCTAGCTACAAACCCCGTTTTCTTAAATCATTTTATTTCAAAAGCTGATATTGTGACATAGGACATGCGCTTTCAAGCTCTTATGCCAGACGTACGTAGAACAGACACATGGTCGACAGTATTCGCTCTGTTAACTAACTTTGCTCATATCTAGATCTTACACTGGCTGGGTATTACCAAAATCGATCGCATGTTGAGCATGTCGAAGTGAGTGGATTCATATATGGTAACAAATCACCGCGTTGCATAGAACTAACGAGGTGCCCAGCATGAAACACGATGCAATCGTTGAACAAGGCATACCGATCCATGAGCGAGTCCCCATACCAGATGATTTGATTCCCGAAGACAGTCGGGTAGAAATCGATGCAAAAATCCACGCTGGTTACTGTATGCTAATCCCTGGAATTTTCTCTCGTTTCGATATTATTCTTAGTATTATTTTAGTCTAACATCGATGGACAGTCACTACCGGCAAGGTCTTGAGTGCGGATGAGCTTTCCAAGGTGCAAGGGCGCGCGTGGGAAGATGTTGATGTAAGTGATATTTTTTTCCCTTTCTTCATCTAGTTTGAGTATGTCTTCATACTGAGCATTAGACCAGCATTGAGAGGGAGGTTGTCGGGCCCCGTCCATCATAATGGGGATAAGCCACTTCCGGGAAGGTGTCGCAGAATGAAGTACAACGCCAGTAACGAAGCCGTGAGGCCATTTTCCTCGTTTCTTCTGTTTTCCCTTGATGATCCATATGGCGTAGTTTTACTAGAAAGTTTCAGGAATACATACTCACTATCTAATGTAACATGGAAATGTTTTATTTAAATACCTGGTCATCTGGACAATTGAACTTGCTAGCCATCATCCCCTGGGCTTAGGAACACAAATGAGTAGAGAAAAACCAAGCCTGAGCCATACGCATGCGATTGCCCCATATTTCCGCCAAGACATTCCGGGCGTAGGGTTTTCTGGCTGGAGTGGGCTGACATAATACATATAACTAACTCACTAACCTGTAGAAGCTAGCGTAAAGGGCTCGCTTAGCGGGAAATTTGTGTGGGATTCCATTTCGACATCACACTGTGGACCAACCGACTCCAAACGCTTGACCTGCTCTCTCTATTCAAGGCCTTCGGATGCGATAATCTGCCTCTCTTTCCCAGCTGCAAGATAGGCCCGAATCGCAAATATGGCTGTCGGAAAGTACGTCGCTCCTTTTAGTCCCATCTTTATTTTCCTCCGGTTGATAGGCTGCTCGGAATGAAGCAGTTGATTGAAGCTATACATCGCCAGAATACTAACTGAACTATTAACAGGAACAAGCGTCTGTCGAAAGGTAAGAAGGGCCTGAAAAAGCGGACTCAGGACCCTTTTTCGAGGAAGGATGAATATTCCGTGAAGGCATGTTATTTCGTGCGATTGGAGGTTGGAGTTGGTTTGGTTTATCCATGATTCAAATGCTAATATCTCGTTTTCCTCAGGCTCCCTCGACCTTCGCCATCAGAGAGTACGATATCTATCCACCTCAATGTGCAAAACGCGGGCTTCGGAATAGAAAAATATGCTAACTCGGGGGAAAATAGTGTGGGGAAGACATTGGTCAACCGAACGACAGGTCTCAAGAACGCCAACGACTCTTTGAAGGGCCGAATCTTCGAGGTTTCGCTCGCCGACCTGCAGAACGACGAGGACCACGCATTCCGCAAGGTCAAGCTACGGGTTGACGAGGTGCAGGGAAAGAACTGCCTGACCAACTTCCACGGTCTGGATTTCACATCGGACAAGCTTCGATCGCTGGTCCGCAAATGGCAAACTCTGATCGAGGCCAACGTAACCGTCAAGACCACCGACGACTACCTCCTCCGCCTATTCGCCATTGCTTTCACCAAGAGACGACCAAACCAGATCAAGAAGACCACCTATGCCCGCTCCTCCCAGATCCGCGCCATCCGCAAGAAGATCACCGAGATCATCCAGCGCGAGGCTTCCACCCGCACCCTCGCCCAACTCACCAAACTCATTCCTGAGGTCATTGGACGGGAGATCGAGAAGGCTACCCACGGCATCTACCCTCTGCAAAATGTTCGATTGGAACCCCGCCTTTTCCTGTCTTTTCCTCAGTGTCCTCTTTTGTCGCTCGTTACGCTTCAGCTGTAAATTTCTTACTGACCACGCGCTTCGATTTTACAGGTCCATATCCGCAAGGTCAAACTCCTGAAATCCCCCAAGTTCGATTTGGGCGCTCTGCTCGCTCTGCACGGAGAGTCAAGCACTGATGACAAGGGCCAGAAGGTATATGTGATAGATCCACTTCCGAAACCACACTCCTTCCTACCTAACCCATGGTATATTGTATATCCTGCTAACAATTGCGTTTTTTTCCGATAGGTCGAGAGGGAGTTCAAGGAGCAGGTTCTCGAGTCCGTTTAAACGCGGCTAGGGAATGAAATGAATGGGGCGTTGGAGAAAGGGAATTAAAATCACCTCGCTTCTAGTTTTACATGTGCTGGCTTTTTATTTTAACGTGGATTATGGTTAAACTACTGTTTTTATTTTTTCTCTCTTTCCCTTTTTTGAAAACAAACCGTGTATCCCATTGAACAAGAATAGAATCTGAAAGCCACACATGTCTAGATAGCTTATATTTTCGATTTTCTCAAATGGGTAACACACGGAACTGATAGTATCTTTTTTGAACTTCAGATGCTTTCCAAATCCCTTGCTCCTTGTTTCCCCCTCCCCGAGTTAACAGCTCGATTCATGTAACTTTGCCTTTATAAGTGGGAAACAAGCAGCTGCCAGTACTTGGACGTGCGACTGCTGTATAGTTCACCAACTTACTAATAGCATGTTTCTCCCGCGTCGTCTTGCAAATTGACCAACCCTTGAAAATGTTTTATAATAATAGCATTCTTGCGAATTGAAGTGATTCTATGTTGGCATATAATCTAGGCCATCTTTAAGTGACGAAGTACTACTAATCCAGGAGGTAATCTATCAAAGCATAAGCACCCCACACCACAGGGCGGATTAAATTACCGAAGGAACTCAGTAACAGCTATGTACAGCACGCTGTCAGTTTCACTGCCAACGTTTCTTAAACGAGGGAGGAAGAGGAAGTTGGGGGGGCCCATTAGGAGAAACGAACCGTTTTTGAACGCCTCCGGATTCTCTGATATTACCCAGTGACCGGCGTCGACATCTACTAGTCGGTAATTGGGGAAGAAATGCGCAATCGTTGGCAAGGTTTTATCTTGGACATAGCGGCTTCTGGTTCCTCGTATAAAAAGCGATGGGCCTTCAAATTTGACGGTGTTAGAAGGGCTAAACGGGAACCCTGCCAGTTCACCCAAAGATTCGCCGAGCAGTTTTACAGGGACACGGAACTTGAGAACATTGCTTTCTTTGGATCGAATAAGGTTGGTGAGGAGGAATTGGCGGATTGGTAGGGACTGTATATTAGTGCGTATTTGGAATTAGCCCGTTAAGCTCCAAAGAGAAGGGAAGGGGGGTCTAGAAACAATGGGAGTATATGGGTAAGATGTATATGGGTAATACGAACCTCTTCATATTGCTGGAGGATACGATCCGCATCACTCTGCTTTGTGACATTAGCACTCTCAATTTCCTGCATGGCCTTTACATAATTTGCGAATGGGCTGCCTAGCCTCGCAGAAACGGGAGCGTTGTCGACTGCAACGAAGGAAGATATGAGGTCAGGAGACCGCAGCGCAACAGTCATCGCAGTTTTCGCGCCCCTATATTTTCCCCAGCAATGTCAGAACGGATTTCCATTTTCACATGGGTATGGGAACAGAGATTACATCGAGTGGCCAATTAGAGTAGGCTTTTCGAGCTTCAGGTCATGAACAAATTCCTCGACGTCATCCGCCATCGCAGTGTAATTGTGCTCCTGGAAATGCGGCGAGTCGCCATGGTTTCGAAGATCCTTTCCAGTGTTAAAGAAAGTTAGGCGTATGCGGGTCATATCGAGCATTGTTCGAAATGCAAAGAGGAGGGAACCCTTACAAGCGCATAGATGCGAGTTTTCAGATGGCTCCCGAGAGCTCTGCAGCCATGTCAGTGAACATGTTTCCGAAGAGAACGGAATATTTTGGCCTCTCCTTACTTACTGATACTCCTATTATTCTGTTTGGAGCCGAATAGTCCATGCATAAATATAATAGGGCTGCGGCTTTCGTCGATTGGCGCAGAGTCACCTCCAGCCGGCCAAGCTTGATAGGCCAGTTGAGCTCTGCTCCTCACAGGTGATGTTCTGAAAGATCGGTAGGAGACGCGGGATAAGCACCCACGGAAAATCGGGGAGCCCATAGTTTCTACGAGCTTCAACCAGTGGTAGCGCGCGGATCAGAGAGAAATAGAAGAGATGATTGCTAGAAATTGGGAGGCGGAGACGGGTTACGTCACGTGATGATATATAGAGTACCTAGGTAGGTAGGTATCGGGCGGCATTAAGTAGCTGTTCTAAGGAAGTTACAGGACTATTTACGCGCTTAAATGAATATGCTTGGGTATAAACTACATAATATGTGCTGTATATGCTATCACAAGGGATGTCCGGCCGCCACCTTGTCTTTGGACTTGGCTGCATGGTATGCCTGCTTTGCGGCCGCAGCCTGCTGCGTTATGGGGTTTTCCAAAGCCTTCCTGGCTGCTTCGTTTCCGGCTATAACTTTGCTAAGCCCCATCCCCGACCCTAGACATTCTTTTTTATGGCCCCAACCGGTTAAGTAAACGCCAATAAAAAACGTTTGTAAACCCCCAGGATGGTTAATGGCTTTTTTCTCATCCAAATAAGATAGTCTGATTCCTTTGTCCATGATTAGTTTCGCAAGCTCCTCCTTGTATCGAAGCACAGGCTTTTCCTTCTCTATTTGCTCAAGCTTTGGTATCCAGAGCTGCGTCAGCCAATCCTCGACCAGCTGGACGCCGTTGTCACGGTTAGACAAGATGACGGCCGCAACGTATGCTTCGAAAAGGTCTCCTTTGACTTTCGTCCATGTTTTTGCTTGATTCCGAATTTCAGGCGGCACCATCAATTTTTGATCTAGGCCATAAAGAGTGGTGTATTCAGCCAATGTTTCGTTTTTCACTAGGAGTTCCCTGATCTGGGAAAGACGCCCCGCTGGGAGACGCGGAAACGTATCCCAGACAAGCCGGGTTGCCATAATCTCGATGTAGGCATCGCCTAGGAGCTCCATCCTTTCATAATTTTTCTCAGATAAAGAAGCGGTGTTCGGATTATGGATGCCTTCGTGAGTGAGCATCGCAGTGTGTAGTTGTTTATCCAGAACAAGTGGGAGAGGCGGCAGTTTCTTCTGAGCATGTAATTGTAGCGAAGAGGAGTGCAGTCGATCCCGAGAAGATTGTGAATAATACAATGACTCCGGTGCGGAGTTTTTGGGGGATAATGCTTTGTCAAGCTCTGCCAAAGCTACTACCACGTCAGGTTCGGATCCATCTAGGAGTTCTTGAACTTGCTCCGGGCGGCTTAGAAGCTTGCTGGTGAGTTTTCTAAGTTTCTCCAGACGAGATTTGGCTTTAATTGTACGTTTCTTGGCCCCTGAAGAAGTTTGCGAGCTTGTAGAAACGTTATCGGGTTCCGGGTCGGGTAGTGTCTTGTAAGGAGTATCACTATTAGCTAACCATCAAGCGGGAACATAACGTGGAGGAGTTCGCAAAATACCGTCTGGATGGCTTTCGCACTGACCTTGCGCCTTTTCACGGCCTTTCCTACTGTAATCCCTCCGGAGCTTTCGAGCTCAAGTTTCCTCTTCGTATCCATTTTCCTTATTTTCTTTTTGATATATCCGAGAATATGGGGTGGGATGCGTTTGAATAGAGTTTTTTCTTTTCTTTTTATTCATTTACTTATTATTATTATTATTTTGTTTTTTCGAAAGGACGTTGAGCGTAAAGAACAGGACCGACGCCAGGTAGCTAGCGCAATTAATGAAGAAGCATCTTTTCCGTTCAAATATTTTGCAGAGGTAGATGTGGAAGCGCACGCAATCCTAAAAAGGACTAGCGGCAGAGCCTCCGAAACCACCGATTTGCGCTCGTCAGACGGACGGATGTCACCACCAAGACTTCATCCTCGACGATACTCACGGCTCCAACGAAGACCTTGGTGACAACAAACTACGGGCAATATGTCTGTTCCTCGTTCTAGAATTCTAGACCTTGTTAAGGTTGGTCTCGGCTCTCTACACTATCATTGATCTCACTAACTTTTCAAAGGCCCAATGTCGCATTTTCTCCCACACCTACAACCCCGAGCAACAACGACTTGGGAATAAAGTTTTGCGCCAGAGATTACGAGGACCAGCACTAGCAGCATATTACCCTCAAAGAATAGGCACTTTGAATGAACTGGAGGAAGCCTACGATGCTCTTGGGCTCCGGTTTGTGGATTATCCTGAGGGAAAGCGGCTTGGTGTCATAGAAAAGTACGTAGTGCGGTGTTCTTGGATATCTGCGGACATTATTTGGTAACTCACGGCAAAAATACAGACTTCAAAGCCGTGGGAAGGGGAACCCCAAGAAGAGACGCACAGCAGCAGGTAAGAGAGGCTTCCCGTATCTTCCTCCTGCGTTTTCGCGGCTGACTGATCTGTCCCGTTACAGAGTCGAGATCGGCCAAGAGGAGATAGTTCAGCTCCCTACCTTTATCTGTACTTTATATGCGTGTTTCAGTGGACCATTCATATACCTAGATTGGCTTCACCATGGTTTCTTTCTGGGCATTCTACCAAGGGTTTTTACGTTTGGGTGGTAAGAAGGAGTTGTTTTGGTTTTTATTGAAGCAATTGTATTCTAGAGGGTTAGCATTCATAATTATAAATAAGACCTTCATGACATCCCCTGACAAGTGTTTCCTTCACCATCGTCAATGCCAATTATCGACTCTGGTTATTCCTACTTCAGCACACCCGCGTAGCTCTTCTCTCTGTTGAGATATCTCACGTGATTTGGGTTTAGTGAGCCCTTGTCTCTCGACGTATGTTCCACGCGCCACTTTTAACAATCTTCCCTTCCCAGCCATTCCCAAATCATCGCATAGTATAGGCATGTGTTAACTTATATACTCGCTCTGTCTGCTTACCTGCTTAACTGACCTACCTATTTGCGTCGACTGAGCTGAGAGTTGAAAGGGCTCATCCGGCGCCCGAATCTCCCGGTGTCCCTGATCCTGTCAACGGTAATTCTCCAAAATGCCAGCGGTAACTACGAAACCCACTAAGAATCAACTGAAGAGAGCTAAGCGCAAAGCGAAAAAGAATGAGGTATGTTGCACATAGTTATTGCCTGGGTATATACGTCTGCTGACTTCACTACAGTTGAAATCTAGCACGAATTCTCCGGCTCCTCAAGCCGATCCGGATGTTGCTGAGACGAAGGACGAGCAAAATGGGACTCCATCAGAGGCTCCTCCTCCTCCGGAGCGTAAGAACGATGCGAGCGACCCTGAGAATCTCTATGATTCCGTCGACCCCTTATTTGAAATGTATAGAGACGTGATCGGCAAGTTCGAGAAACGCGAAAACGAAGAGTCCGCATCCAAAGAAATTGACAAACCCGAGGTCTACTTCGATGACGATGATGATATTCCTGATGAGGAAGAGGAAGCTTCCGGGCCTAAAATATCGAAAAAGAAGCGAAAGGAAATGAACAAACTGTCTGTTGCAGAGCTGAAGGCGCTGGTTCGGAAACCGGAAACAGTTGAATGGACCGATACGTCAGCATCAGATCCGCGTCTACTTGTGCACATCAAGGCCTATCGAAATGTCGTTCCTGTACCAACTCACTGGTCATTAAAACGGGAATATTTGTCGTCAAAAAGAGGTGTTGAGAAACCACCCTTTGCCTTGCCAAAATTCATACAGGAAACTGGAATCGCTGAAATGCGAGATGCAGCTTTGGAAAAGCAGGATCAAGCAACTCTCAAGCAAAAACAGCGCGAACGTGTACAGCCTAAGATGGGGAAATTGGATATTGACTATCAGAAGCTCTACGAGGCCTTTTTCAGATTTCAAACCAAACCAGAGCTGACTCGCTATGGAGAAGTCTACTACGAAGGCAAAGAGTATGAGACTAACCTACGACACCTCCGACCCGGCGAACTGAGCGATGAGCTGAAAGAAGCACTCAATATCCCCCCCGGAGCGCCCCCACCATGGCTAATAAACCAGCAACGATTCGGGCCTCCCCCGTCATACCCTGCCCTGAAAATTCCGGGTCTAAATGCTCCACCCCCGCCCGGCGCAATGTGGGGATACCACCCTGGCGGATATGGGAAGCCTCCCGTCGATGAACACAACCGGCCGTTGTACGGGGGTGATATTTTCGGTGTGTTGCAAACGCAGCAAAATGTACAACAAGGGGAGCCAGTGGAGAAAGAACTTTGGGGAGAACTACAACCTCCAGAGGACGAGTCCGAAGAAGAAGAAAGCGAAGAGGAAGAGGATGAGGGGGAAGATGAAGAAGGTGGAACTGGGTTGCAGACCCCAAGTGGGTTGGAGACTCCTAGCGGGATGGTTTCCACAGTCCCTTCGGAATTCGGAGGTGCAGAGAGTGTCGTGGGCGAATTCGATGTCCGAAAGCATCGCGGGACAGAAACTGAGGAATCAGCGCATCCTAGGTCTGCATACCAGGTCATCCCCGAGCACCAGACGCAAGTTCGGGGCTTTTTCGGTGGCGATCGGGCTTATGATCTTAAAGCTGCACAGAGTAATATTCCGGTGCTTGGTGCAGAAGATCAAAGTCGGAAAAGAAAGAAGCCTGGAGATGTGGATGTATCCGTTGACCCTGATGCGTTGCATGATGGAATAAATAAGGACAACTTGAAAGACCTCTATGAAGCCCAGCGAAAACAGGAAAACAATCCTAATTGGGGATTCCAGGAGGACCTGAGTGATATGATTGCCAGCGAGAGCCGGAAGCGATTAAAGAAAGATGAAGAGCGGCGGGCCAAGCGGTAATATCATAGTTGACTGCCCACAGCAAACATATCAAGGAGTTGGGAGTTTCATGATGGGTTTGAAAAGGCTCGGGGAAATTCTTTGTAGCAATCTCTTGCTCTTCTACTTTCTGATGTAACTATGCAATTAATCTATATGATCCAGTTTTCATTCCATTTTCCATAATTACGCGCCTAACCAACCTATAATTTTTATGTTACAAAGTCCCGTCACGTGACACAATCCAAAAATTTCCCTGCGCATTCTTTCTTGAAAGGGTTGGCGGAACACGCGCTGAGCAACCTCGCGGGGACAAGTCGAGTGAGTGGAACATGAGCTGTCAGCCAATATTTTTTTTACATTGCTACGTTGTAGCCCAACGATAGCTTTCTATTAGCATATTTCTATGCTATGGTTGGGTGATGAGTTAATCACTGCAACCCCTCGTATCTCCTTTCCTGCGACGCTTGAGATCCAGATAAGCGCCCTTTGCGAAACATCACGATGGATCGTGACAGAGATAGAAGGTTTGGGAACTCCTTTTTAATCAGTCCCATTTCTGGCCCAGTTGGATTAATAGCTATCGCTTGAGCCAGCCCAGACATATTGTGACAGCCTGGCTAATGGTTGTGGATATTTGCGACCTTTTAGATACGATGATGGGCGTCGTTTTGGAGAAAGCTACCGGCCTTCAGATCGAAACCGTCGACCTTCTCCTCGTGGTGATATCCGCTATGGTCGCTCGCCTCCGCTGAGGGCCCGCTCTCCATTAAGACCTGCGGCTGATACCTGGGCTCCTGATCGCGGGAGGGCTCGCAGCCGGTCACCGGGTGCCTTCCGGCGCCGTTCAAGAAGCCCGCTTTTTCGTGGTAGAGACCAGGTTTCCAGTTACAACCCCAGAGGCAGGAGACCGTCGCCCGGCCGTGATATTCGTCGGAGTCCCCCAAGACCCCGACGCTCTCGAACCCCACCCCGATATCCGCGGGAACGGAGTCCGTTTCCTCTAAAGCGGACTCGAGACCCTTCGCCATTCAACAGTTATCACCCGCGCTCTCCAAAAAGAGAGCGCGTCGCATCTCCTGTACGACCAAGATATGAACGACCGCGATCGCCGTCGCTCTCTGAATATGCGCGGGGGCTTCCACGTGCGCGTTCACGCAGCCTAGAACGGCGCGAACCGCGGCGAGAAGTTCCTGGTGAGCGGTCATGGCGACGCCGGTCACCCTCGCCTCCGATCGCCCTATCTGGCCACAACTCTGGTCAAATTTCGACAGTTACGTCACGAAGGTCGTCCCCACCGTTACAAACAAATGACGGAATGAGCCTGCCACGGCCCGGGCAAGTCGCACGTTCACCTGCCAACGTACCAACACGAACTCAATATGAAGCCCGACACCCGGCACCATCTCCTTCCCATCCCATCAGATCGCCACTGCGACCAGTCGAGCCGCCGCGGGGCCCTGCTGCTGGACCACCGTCTCCTCCTAAAGGGCCCGGTAGGCGCGGACCTTCGCCTAGATTACCGGATAAACCTTTGAGGCCGAGTCCCGGGGGGGATAATGAGCGTGTTGAAAGCCAATTGCAAAATATAAGGCCACAGGGCCCCTCGGGTCCCTCTTCGCCCGGGCACCAGAATGGCGCGCAAGCGTCAAGAATCCCCAGTCAACCCCAAGCTTTCAATAAGCCGCACTCTGTAACTCCGCTGTCCGCCCCTTCGCCTGTCCAGCCGCCAACCGGCCCTCAGGCTCGCGGAACGAACATGTCGTTACTTTCCGTACCAACGCGGCCCAGAGGTGGCCCTCCTCCTAGCTCTGCGAGGGACGGCCCCGGTCCCCGCGAGGGATCATGGCCAGGGCCAGTTCGACACAACTCCCCGCCGATGTATCATAAAACCCCTACTGGACCCCGTGCCAACTCTAATTATGAGTCCCATCGCCCGTCTTCGTTTCGGCATAGTAGTAGCTCATCCACCCCCTATTCCCACACCCGTCCTCCACGTTCTACCAACTATCTCTCAGGGCTACCTCCAATAGTGCCTGGTGGGAAACTGCTGCCGTCCGGCTTGGATCCCAGCCGCGAAAAGCGCCTAGCACAACTAGAACTCGATAAAGAGAAACTCCTAGAGCAGATTGAGGAAAAGCAAAAGGCCAAGCGGGCGGGACTGAGGGAATGGGAGAAGCTTAGTAGAGAAAGTTCTACGGGTGCACTGAGGAGTGAACTTGCCGAGGGCCATTTACAACGAATGACAGAGGGAGATGGGTTGGGCGGATCTGCTTTTTAATAGTGAATTTCTTTTTTTTAAATTACGATAATACTCTTCTGTGTCGTGTATTCTTTTCGGATTTTTTTTTTCCCCTTGTTTTGGCGGTATTTCATTGTTAGTCAAGGTGTTACTGAAGAAAATACATCGAGTCATGGGGATATTGTTCTGCAAGCGACGCACATTTCTCTTACGTTTATTAAGATTAGGTATTAGGATCAGGTCAATAAACATATTGTTCAATTGGATTTAACTATCAAAAGGGGTCATCTAGTGGGATAAGCAGTGGATTTGCGTCGGGACCGAGATACCAAAACAACATAATGCCAGGATTATGGATAACTGCAATGCACACCAAGCAGCGACATATATTTATTCTCCAATCTCCCGACTATATGTAAAATATCTATAGACAACCTGCTTGGTTAACTTTGTAGCGCTTTTCCCCTTACACAGACAGTCCAATAACTTCAAAAGATATGCAAGTCACGTGGTATTCGGATTAAAGAAAACCCGTTCGCCGGCTCCCTGGCGCGATCCAACCGCCGCAGCCAAACCAAAGATCGCCGTGGGTTAAGAGGCTTCGTGTCAACAAATCGAACTTCAAGAACTGCGCTCTCCGCTCCCGAAGCGCCCTCTGCACCGTTAAATGCCCAGTTTCATATGGCGTTCTCTGCCTCTATAGTCCTCCTAGAGAATCCTCAGACTCAAGAGCCTTCTTTACCTCGGTGGCCCTGTTGCCATCGCGCCATATACAATTTTTGATTAAAAGCTTACTGCCAATTCCCCCTGTATTCCCCGATCAAAACAATTAGCTCCGAAACCTTCGCTATCCCTCGCCGCCAACATGAATATCTTCAGGTTGTTAGGTATGCGCCTACCATATGTCGCAAATGCTTTTTTATTAGAGCCCTTCGACCGAAATTGTGCACTACAATTGCTCTAGACGGATATTTAATCGCGTCCGAATGGCTGACCTTTGAATTTTTATACTCGCAGCGGATTTCTCCCATCTGATCTCCATATTGATTCTTTTGCAAAAAATGAAATCATCCAGCGTACGCATACCTCTACCCCCGTGAGATTTACGGCAAATCCACTATATTGCTACCATTGCGGCGGCTGATTTGGGTTTAGAGCTGCTCTGGAATATCGTTTAAATCTCAAGCATTATATCTTTTCGTCTATATTACGCGATACTTAGGTATGTCTGGTTTTAGATTGCTCAATAACAGAAGGGGTATCGTATGGTTATTAACGTTGTTCCCATCAAACAGATCTTTTTTGGACCTTCACCGATTCCGCCTATAATACCGTTTTTAAACTCCTATTTATCTCTTCCTCAGCCTATACGCTATATCTCATGGTCAACGACTACAAACCCACTCACGACCCAAACATTGATACGTTTAAAGTGCAATACTTGTTAGGCGCAAGCGTTGTGCTCGGTGTAATATTCCCGCCAAGATATGAATTTGCTGAGGTATGACAGTCACCAGATTTATACCGCTCCGTGTATGTCAACCTCCGTTACTAAGTATTTCACTCTGCTGTTTTAGATCCTCTGGGCATTCTCAATCTGGCTCGAATCCGTAGCAATTCTCCCACAACTCTTCATGCTACAACGCACCGGGGAGGCGGAAACGATCACGACACATTACCTCTTCGCTTTGGGCATTTACCGGGCGCTATATATTCCCAACTGGATATATCGATATTTCTCGGACGGCTTCTTCGAACCCATTTCGGTGATTGCTGGTGTTATTCAGACTATTCTCTACTCGGACTTCTTCTGGATTTACTATACCAAGTTCGTTTTTCCTCCCTTCTGTTCCTTGCATATAACATTTTATCTTCGGATATAATTGTCTCCCGGGCGTATTTTTGAGCGAGTTGATTCTAACCGGTTTTTCTTATTTGTGTATAGGGTTCTAAAGGGCAAGAAGTTTACGCTGCCAGTATAAAAAGTGAGTTCTTAAAGGACATGTAAAATGCACTTTGTAGTATCTGAGAATATTATTAACATTTTAAAGAAATAAGTAACAAGGTTTCACAAAAATAGGGGCACTGCCATTGTTAGGCGTGAGAGGGGAGATCTAAGCTCTACAAACTTGTATCATCAAAAACAGTTCATTGTTTTTCACTCTCTGTTCAGCTTTCTTTCTTTCTTTCTTTTCTTTTTCCCCATTTGTATCATCTGGGAAACTCATTTCTTTCTCCCCCATCTTTTTATATTACTTCTATATACTGTTCTTTGCTTCCTTACCTTTTTTCTCTTCTTGACGACTTCATTTGCATCCACCCTAGAAGGGTTGGACGGCAACCCCCATTTTGTTCTATATTTTTTACTTTAATGACACTAATGATGGGTTTATCTGACGCCATTATATCGCATTAATATCGCGGTCTGGGTAATGACTAGGAAAAGAGAGCTATATGGGTTTAGGAGTTTTTTCCTTTTAGTTAACGGCTAAAATCCCAAGCAGCTGTTCCTACTATGCTCACGGCATAAATAATTCATCGCAGGAACAGACCTTTCTTTTGAACCATTTCTTCAACAAAATAAGCACATCCGCCGGGCAATGCTGCAAAATTCTTTTATTTTATTCGTGATTGATATATACTATACCCGTGAATAGTCTGACTAATCGTAGAAAGGGCTCCTTATACAACACAGGAGAGGAATGGAAAAAAGGGGGTGGCAAAATAAAAGCAGGACGCAAAGTTTTTTTAGCCACACGGAAAAACACACAACAGACAAAAGAGTATATGAAATATATGAAATTAATAGGATCTATGAGACAAATCATTGGATTGGAGAAGAAAAGGAAATACAGTGAGTTATATAGCTTGAAAAAACACAACTCCTCTCAATTTAGTTAATTTTCTGAGCCTTTTCAAAGTTTGCAAATTCTCCTGCTGGCGACCCCTGTTACTTTTCTTTCCCATAGCACCCATCCCATGTATTATATGAACTTTTCGTAATCGGACAACTTAGGAGAGAGAGAAAGAAGGCTTGAGTGATAGAAATATGAAAGTATTTTGTTTTTTCTCCCTCTTGTAGCGTAGCTTTTGTATATTTTTCCGCAAACAATAAAAATAAAATAAGATAAGAAAGTAAAAAAGAAATGATGAAAATATTATAGTTCCTACTCAAGGTCAAAGGAAAAGGGCCTGAACATTTAATGGAGGGAAAAAATGGAATAAACGAAAAAAGCAAAGACAAAAAAGGAAAGTCAACTACCATACCTACCCAATACCCATATCATGCCAAAATGCCAAGTGACAATAATCCCATTATCGATACCAATTACCAAATGCTGAACTCGATAAAATAAACAAGCTGCTCTTAGTGATTATCTGTTAACGTACTCATAGCCCACGTATATCGGGTAGCCGGCCCAACAAAGGTTGTGTCCCATCAATATTGTGACTCGGGAATCCCATGAGCTTCTTCATACGAAGTATGGTAATCCAGATGCGGCAAATGCATTCCTCCTCCCGCTATGCCTTCTGTGGTGCTCGAAATGGACCTGGGAAGCGTACCTAGCCCAGTCGGAGCTAGCGGGTTGACATGATGTTGGTACTGGCTGCTGTGATGCAGATGATGGTGACTACCATGGCCATTGTGGCTGTGACTATGACCGTGGCTATTGCTATGGCCCCAGCCAGCGCCTTGGATGTGGTGGGAATACTCGCTCTGCATTCTTCCATTTGCAGCGCTGGAACGGCTGATTACAGAGTCGCGTCGTGAGCCTGGTGGGGAGAGAAGTTGAGGATTCGGTAAGGTTGTTAATTTTGGAGAGCCCCTGCGGGAGTTCGGAGGGGTTAAACGTGAGCCCCGGCGAACCTGGCAAGTTGGGCAGATTTTAACGAAACGGGAGATTAGTTCTTTGGGGACCCTGTTTGTATATATATGGTTAGATTTATCTTTTTCATTCTCCTTTCGCCCTGTTCCCTGTTTATCATTGCCATTATATATATGTCTTTTATCTCTTCCAGGTTGAGTGCGCTTCCCTCTTTCTGCTCTAATGCAGCAAACATACCAAGAATATATCCTCCGAACCTGAGCCGAGGTCTTGTCTCGACCTCCGTGTTGGCATTGTTGATGTGCTCTTGTCAAAATTTTGAACAATTTCTCCCGAATAGCAACTGGTTTCCCCTCGTGGCAGATCAACCGTTTCGACTGAATAGGGCATTCATCTAATCAGTGGGAAAGCCTATCTATATATTTGGAGGATTCACTTTTAAGAAAGAAAGAAGGCCATACATCAGGTGTTCTCCCATCGTTCGGTTCAAGTTTGAACATCTTCTTGACCCAAAATCTAGAACGCACAGGTAAGTCAGCATATGCAAAGAATCGTAAAGGGTTTTGATAGGTCCACGCCGTGAAAAATAGCAAATGCCTGCGTCATCCTGCAAGAGAGAAGAGAGTGTGTCGTACCGAAATTGTGCCGACTCAACACCCGTATTTTTAGGGTCTATGAGCACCGTTCTGATGTTTCGCGCCCTTCTTGAGTGTATCAAGGCTTTATCTTGCTTTTTGACCGACAGGTCCTGGACGTAACTTAGAAGCAGGAAAGATATTCTGTCAGAAATAGAGTTTTTATCTGTAATAGGGAGGAGGTAAAATAATCACCTAGCCACAAGTTGGTCGAATTCTACAACATCTGGGAAGCCTTCCAAGGGTGGTAGCACTGGCTCAGATGCCATCGATTGCTCATTACATGACTCTTGCCTCTCAATCTCGACATCCCGAAGCGGGTCTGGAAAGGCAAGGTACCTGTGGGGAGTAGGGTATCTTGGGTGGGCAAGATACTGAGGGGGGTAAGGGTAGCTGCTAGTCAGGGAAGAATGCTGTTGCGTTTGATGATACATTGAATGCGATGTAGCATAGTGGGGACTTAAATGGGAGCCTTCGGAAGAAACCGACGAGGTTTGGCTGTACGGAGAGAGAAGGTGAGTCGAGTATGAATGCAAGGACGGCTGCGAAATCCCATATTGGCTGCTCGGAGTGTAGGTGTAGTCCTGCTCTTCGCTAGGGGAATAAGTCTGGCTCATCGTGAGATAGGTCGGTTGATTAGGCGGGTGATTGGTCGACAGCAGCAGGTTCCTCCTTCCTGTAAACGCACTATCATCAGGAGGATTCTAAAAACGCCCAGTCACAATAATGGAGCCGAAGCGGCGTCCCAAGAACCACCTTTCTATATGAGGAGCTCTAGTGGGGGACGGGGCGGGTGATTTGATAGAGAGGGGCAGGGCCACGAGAAAAGCCTGGCACTTTCTCTCAGGAGTAGGCCGAACCAGAACCTGTAAGATGCGGAGCACCAAAAACGAAAAGAGAAGAACGAGAGACTAACAGTAGAGGAATTTTGGATTGGGCTTTTCCCCGGTTCATAAAAGATTCGGGAATTCCTCAGCCCTGTCGAAGAAATATCGCAATCAATCGGCTGGGATAGAATTTTCCTGGAAGATAGCAGAGGAGGGGGGTGCGACGTTTGTTCGACTTCAGCACATATGGATAATATCAAGAAGGAATAAACAGAGGATCGTTTCGCTTCTTATATAAACCGAAGGCACAGCGATGGAATGTTCTCTGTAGAGACGGGCAGGGAGTTGATTTAATAGTAATTGAGAGCTCTCGCGGCTGAACTGAGTCCGATGGTGCCTCAGGGGTACAGCCAGCAAGGAGGACAGAACGAGGGGGTATTTATTTAGAGACAGCAAATGAACCTATGGGATACATACATCCAGAGCTCGAGGACATGGAGGATAGTACTGGGAAGAGAAGACGAAACAAAAGGGGAAAGGAATGGGGCAATAATGGCGGACCAATGCCGGCGATGTACCACGAGCTGATTTGCACGATAGGAGCACAAGCGGATATCCAGCGAGGGGCATCTAATTATTGGTAGACAGATGTGCAGTACATACGTACTTGGATAGAAGTGGTGGGATGGTTGAACCTCCGTCAAGTGTCTGCCGCCGAATGAAGCATTTGTCTGGTCGCAATCGGCACCTTCCGAGCCGGATATCTATATATATAGAGCGTAATATAAATATTTTCTGTTGCCTTTTTTTATTTTTATTTATTTTTGAAAGTGGAAAAGAAGACCAGACCCAACTAACTGGCTGTTTCCACGCGGTTGGGAGGGATAAAGGGCTCGCTGTGTGCTCACAGTGAGTCCCAAAGCAGGGCGGTTTCGTCGTCTTTGGCTCCCTTGTTTCTGCAAGTCATACCTCCGACGACGAAGCCCGCAGGGCAGGGATGCCGCGGCGGGCTGAGGTGGACTCGCAGAAGAATTATAAGTGTAAATATATCATAGGCCATGGCAATCACTGCTCGTTATAGCGTATGGCCGGGCTTGCGGGAGACAGCCACGTTGAGACCTGCTCACCCAGGATGTTTCCGGAGCCTGGCTGGCAGTGAGTGTAAGCGGTATAACTTAACTAATACCTGACTTGAACTTGACTGTGACGGACCCAATCGAGGACAGCAGAAGTTGGCGCTGTCAGTTGTCACCAAAAGTGTCTCATATAGTGTGCTCGGAGTGTCTAGCGTGAGGGTGCGAGATGACAATCACCGTTAGCGGCCAGACTCGATCTCTGAAACCTGCACCAGGAACGCCTTGGTTGGCCGCTGTGACGGGGTGGATAAGGAGCCTGTTGGCGCTGGCTGTACCCCGTACACACGATCTACGTGGAGGGGAGTCGGCGAGGGTAAAGTAAAAAATAAATATAAATATATAAAAAAATGATGCTGCCATAGAGCCAGTCATTCGTCTCTGACCACATACACAGTTGCCAATTACAACCTCACAATGCGCCTTTCCGTTCCATGAGAGCTGCACAATGACCTACAAGCAAAAAACCTTGTGTAATCTTCTTGTCTGTTTTCATGGGCCCCTCGAGAACAACAACAGCACTTCCTTATCCAGTATGATCCTTTTTGCAGTCGATATACGGAGTAGTTAAGCTAACTCCCAGAGGCGACTACACGTATATAATAATAATAACAACAGAAACAGGAGCAGCCGCAGCAGAAGCCTCTAACTACCTAGTGTAATGTCTGTATACATACGCACACACACACACACACTCTCTCTCTCTCTCTCTCTCTCTCTGCTTGCTGACCAACAACTCCGATCCAGCATTCCGCGTGCAGACTTCAAGTGCCTTTGTGGACACGCATAAATAAATAAATAAATAAAAATTGCTGTGAGTGCGGGAACCCGCATCTGAACCAAGCTCTGCTCCCTCTCTCTGCTCTGACCGGTTGAAGCTGCTGATGCGTCCCCGTAGGCACCTCTGGACTTCTGCCGCCCCCTCGACGGATTGGCGGGGGGGGGAAAGCAGCCAATAAAGCGTCGTATGGCGCGCATCTGCTGGCCGTTCTGTCTGTCCCCTCCAGCAAATCCCACTGATCAATCCGTGCGTCCTTGCCTCGATCTGGTGCCGGGAGATGGGGGCCATGGAATGTCTATCCGCCTTATTTCTATGGCTCAATATATGCCTAGACTTTAGACCATTATAACCTGGTCGTGCCGAAACGATTGAAAGGTGAGAAATAGGTAGGAGTAAAAATAAGATATTACCATGTTAGCCGCATGATCACCGAGATATTGGGGCGTGGAATGGTGGCTCTGGTTTCTTGCTTGCTCTTGGTTGGGATAGGGTGAATGAACCCTTTTCAAAAATATACCCAAGATTGGCTTACTACCGACCTGTACTTTACATCCTGACGGAATTACGAAATGTGGGATCCTTAGGGAAAGGAGGATATGCGGGATGTGTTGGGTGAACAGCGGTGTACAATACAGCTTGGAGAATATGATAGTTATTTATGTTTGTCGACATCAAGCTGCATAGAGTTACGGAGCAAGCCATTTAACTTGAAAAAGGAGAAAAAAAAAAAAGAAAAAAAAAGAAAAAAAAAAGGAACATCCAGCATTTGCATCGTTAACTAGCCTCTGCTCTAACTAGTAAACTAGTAAACTAGTAGTTAGTTAAACTGGGGACGCTGAGGATTTCTTTTTTATGGCGCTCGAGATACAGAAGAGGATTTAAGCGCGGCTCTGGCTCTCAATAACGACCGAACTGTTTTTTGCAATAATATTAAAAAATAAATACTAAATAAATAAAAATTCATAAGCTGCTCATATGCAACTGCATTGAAATATTTCCGATGGCTCTTCTCACTACCAAAATACCCAAAGAGCGCTGTCCAAGTATTTCTTTTCCGTTTGCTTCACTGATTAGACTGAAATTCGCATCAGCCTGTGGAGGCTTGTTGGGCACGAAAAGTGACTTGCATTTTGCCAGCATTTGCTCCAGCTGGCCAAGTACCTCGTTTATCATCATCCCCCCCCCCCACTCGCCCGGAGTGCTTGCTTTTTTGTTTTTTGTTTTTTTTCTCTTGATTTTGATTTTTCTTTCTCCCGTCCGCCTTTCTGAGTCAGCAAAACCATTCCCTGTACATTTGTACTGTACATACATCGCATCTGCTGGTGTTGTTGTTGTTGTTGTTGTTGTTGTTGTTGTTTGTTGTCGTCGCAAGGTGTTGTTTGTTCGACTAAACAGTTGAGTGAGCTGTTGTGTTGTTGGTGTTGTCCTTTTTCCTTTTCCTTCCACCCTCCCCACATCAACCCTGGGCCATTCTTCTCGACCTAGCAAACACAAGAACACAATTGTTTGGGCTTCTTTGCCTGGGTCCAGGAGCGAGACAGAGAGCGCAGATAGATAGAGTCCAACTACTGTGACTGTGTTTCCTTGAAAGGGAACTACAGCGTAATAACTGGTGGCTTGTTCTGGACGGGGGGCGAGTCCGCGCGAATCAACATATTTAGGCCTGAAATGCCATCTCCAGCTCCCTCCCCTTCCTCCCAGGAGCTATGTATGTACTATACATAACTCCCACCATCCATCCACGATTCCAACAGCACGCACAGTCCTTGAAACTGAGGTTGTGCGTTGATGTTGTCGTTCAGGCCAGGCCGTAGGACCTGCATCCCCCCAATATCGGGACCTCATGCATGGGCGGCATCCGCTGAAGACCCAGAATAGAACCACTTGAAACTGGCCTCGATATAGCGGAGTCACAGAACAATAGAACCAATTGCAGCCAGCGTGGCTTTTCCTGACGATTTCCTTCTTTGGTGCCTGGCGTTGCAGGCATCTGGCGCCTTGGTCATTGTGCGCCTCAATAATACGTTTGTTCTGACGCAACCAGAAGTACCGGGGAGTACTTGTGTGTGCTGTCCTGTTGAATCGTCTGCTCAAGGTTCCCACGTCTGTTAATAAAAGATGTATCTATTTCATCTAATTTCTATATCTATCATCTATTTGACTCGCGCTGCAACGGATGGCGTTAGACAAGTATTCATTTTCATCCACCGATTGATGATCAATCTCTGCTATGTCTTGTTCATTATTCCCAAGAAAAAGCCAACAAAATAAATTTCAGGCGCCCTGCAGCTGGGGGAAATCTTATACATAACTTCTATCAGCAAATCGTCCGGGCGACGATGGTTCAGACCATCATCATCTGCAACAGTTATATTTTTGCTCCTCCTCACCTATATTTTCCAATTCGTTCATTGGCTCCTGTTATCTCCGCATCATTTGCTAACTACTTATACAAACGGCCAGAAAATATATTCTATTCTGGGAATTCTGACATTTATGTGGAACCGTGGCGGGCTTGTGTTTCGTCGGTATGCCAAGTGTATTTAATATATAATTTAAATATATGAGGCATAGTTACCTTTTATTAAGAAGCAAGAGGGGAACTCTGCAGCTTCTGTTCCAAGATTCCAGGCAACGGAGGCTCGGGTTCTATCTACCCTTCACGGGACAATTTTTTTTTTCTTTTTTCTTTTTTCTTTTTCTTCAGTGTAACTACCGCAATGCACCATGCAAATCTCACCCTAACCAAGAAATTGAAAAACCTTCGCGGCCTTTGGAAGACGCATCAACATCGGCCCATCTCGACTACCTGAGCCCCATTCTCGAGATAATTCCCGATAATCCGTATTGCCTTGAGCAGTTCTTTCTTACCGTTTCTTCAGGTAATTGGCTACCACAGAGGGTTTCAAAAGCTTACAATTTTCCATACTCTCTGAAGGCTTCTCAGAGAATTTAGACGACACATTTGAATCTCTACAGTGGAGTCTGTCCATCGCATCTACGATGCCATTCCGTATTTAGCGCAATATACCAAGTGCCAGTGATCTATCTGCATATCCCTTGAGAAATCCCGCTACGCTGCTCACGCGCTGCTAACAGGGAATCTCTCAACAGTCCTTTTGACATCTGTTGTTATCTTCTCCCCTTCGCCTTCTCTATAAAAACAAAATTTTAACGACACTTTTTGCCGATGATCTCATTGGCTTTTTATGCCAGGCACACCTATTTGTGTAATGGGAGGCTCGGTTGCCTTCAGTTGCATCTTGTACTTGACAAACTTCTGCAATGTTTTACCAGGGCTAGATTGGCCGCTCTGACTTCTCGGACCTAACGTTCTTTGAGGTCTGACAAAATATACTAACAGGGCATCTTTGCAAAGATATCCTCTGGGGGATGGATATTCAGTGGGTATCCTTGTTTATTGATACATTTCTCAAGCTATTTCGAGCTTTCATCAGGCCCTTTATTTGTGTCCGCCTCTGGTGGCAAGTTTAAATCTATCAACACTGCCGGATGAGATCCTCTAATCAGTTTCACAAGAAGGCGGGTAGATTTATATGTGGTCTTATGTCACACGTCTTGATTGACATGACGCAACAAGGTGTTTTGATTAAGAAGCTATTATGAGGCTCTCTAACAGCATTCGGATGCTCGGGACAAAGAAAGAGCAAGACAATAAATGGGCCAGAAGACGAAATGGGACTGGCTATAATGCATGTCATCGTCCTCATCTAAATAGCCACTCCCTTCAAGGATTCTTCATCCAGAGACTCAAAATTCGGCATTGGACGGTTTTTCGATACAGTTGGTGTTGTGAAACCCAATCAGCAGGCGCCATTCTATGTTTTTTTTTCGCCATCGACCTACCTTGCCAAGCGGGGAATCATTCTCGAAAATCCGATCTGCTGCTATCCTAGATCTGGAGATTGGAGATCCTTGAAAACTGGGGCCTGCCTGCGAATTACGAGACCTCATATACTACAGGGTTTCTCAAGCTACAATCACTGCCCTTTCACCCAGGCTACCCTCCAGGTTGGGTGAAAACAGAATACAAGAAAATACAAAACAATCCCCCTATCAATCAAGCTGTAGGTAGGTATCCTTGCTCTCTCTCCCGGACCGTCTCTTTTTATCTTTCTCTACCAGCATGGAAGCCTCTAGTTGTGTTCTTGTGTTGCAAAGGGGGCGCTGCTCAAATTTCAATTCAAGCTCAGCGTCATTGTCCAATGGCTTAAGGGAAAGCACCTATCCATCTCCAAGAATGCCATTCATCTCCCCAGCCACTGTCAAGACTGAAAGTGGATCTTCCCATCTTTACCAGGGGCACCCCTGTCCCTGGTCACTCAGTCCCTCTATCCACACACACACACACACAGACACACATATATTCAATCTCAACGGATTAGTTAGCGATATCGAGGTGACGAATTTCAATAACCCCCCCTCGTATGGGAATTTGCTGCCACGAAACCAATAAATGCTCAGCAAGCGGCTTTACAGTGTTGGTTACGATCTGCCAACGTCTACAAATGGATCGAATCGATCAAAAGTGGATGGGAAGGGGGGGGTCGTTTCCATGGGACTACGCAAGTCCAAATCGAAAGGCCTAGTCCAACCTTGCCCATGCCCAGTGCTTCGGGGAGCATCAGACTTCTTACAGAATGGACCACTCACTAGCTAGCCAAGCAGCCAGGAATCCAATGGCATCGTTCGTTTTCAGATCAGTTGTCTTTTTCCCCTTTTGCCCCCCGCAAGGATGGGGCGCAAGTGGATACAGCTGACAGTTTACCCCTTCCATTTTCTGTCGTTCCTTTTCTTTCTCGCTCTGTTTTGCTCTTGCTGGAAAGGAGATGCTTTTTATGGTATTGTTTTTTGACGGCTATGTAATGGTGTGCGCAATTTTACACGTCGAACCAGCATCTAACATATTTCCAATGGACGATACGCTTTATGCAAATAAGTCCAAACTAACCCGCGCGGAATCAAGTGCTGGCCGTCAAATGGGCCTTCAAATGATAGGAAAGCAGACTGAGAAAGAAGTTGATTGTCCGCAGTGGGAATTCTTCTATTGCTTCTCTCGGCTTCCCGCTGGTAGGACCCTTCCATTAGCTTCGATATAGCTATTGTATTATATTTCTCATGGAGATATATGTATGTAGGAACCCTTGCATGGAAAAAACGTGCGTGGACGTACTTTTGAGTTACTCAGTGTCATTCTGCATAGTCTGTGTATAGTAGCGGGTACTTTAGCATGAAAGGTATGATGAGCGCATCCTGCTTTTGTGTCGTGTGGGAGGTTGTACCAGGTACTTTTTCTTTTACACAGATATCATCCAATGTGCAACATTGCACAAAAACTTTATCTACCTCATATGACACCAAGGGAGGTTGGATCTATCGAAAGAGGAGGCAATATTAGAATATAGATCTATCTATCTATCTATCTGTATATATCTGAAAGGAAAAAAGTGCGTGTACATCAAATAGATACGGAAGTAAAAATTACAAACACGCATAAAAAGGGGAGGGGAGCTCACCGTCCTAACTAACTGGAATGAGAAAAGAAAGAAGCAAACACACTTCCCGCCACAGCGCCCGAGAGATGTGTGCATTACACCTAGCATGCCGTAGCTCGCAGTAACCGGTCCAAGACCGAATGCAGCTTTTCTTTTTTGAGTTGGCTCTACGTGTGCCTGAGGTACCTAATTTATTTCGATTGAGCCTGGCTCTCACGCGCTCACTGTCACGCTGCAAACTCGAATCCCCCATTTTCCCCCTTCCCTTCCCTGGTGTGCTTTGCTTTTGGAAGCCCGGCCCAGTCGGGAGTATACTGTTATCCATGGATGCAATGCTGCTGAAAAATGCCCGTATATAGCGTTATGCGGGGGTGCCCGCGATAGATTCAACGATCGCTTTTCTGTCATTTGATCCTTTCATGTGGACTTGTTGGAAGCGAGAGGATGCGGTTGGAAGGGAGTGGCGGGAAGAAAGAGGGTCTGAGGGGGAAGTCGGGGCCTAATGGGCATAGGTTTCATAGAACTTGATTAACATCCAGATCTTGGGGCGTTCTTCTTGCTTGTGGCCTAGTCTGTAGAGGAAAATACGCAGCATTTCGTCTGAGTGAGGTATTAACTCCAGAAGGTGCTCAAGACAAGGTAAAAAAAGATATCACATCCATTACCTGCAAGCAGGCGCAAGCATACATGACGCTCATTATGCAATAGACATGTATGCTTACGCCTGCATTGTTTCCGGCCTTTCATCCACTGAGGCTGTGTACGGGAACTGCGTTGTTCCTGTGCTGTGAGCATAAAAGAACGGAAGGAGGCCGGATATTGTCCCATGCCTTGCCAAGTCGGCTTTTGGTTTCAGGACATGTAATCGTCATCCGCCTGACTAACCCGCCCTTCGCCGACAGTCGACCACAAGGAATAAAGAAAAGGCAACTCAAGATGTCTTACCGATGTAGACGTTCAGAGGATCGGGAATCGGTATGTCACTGCGAGCGGCATTCGATATCAAATAGCTGTTGGTCGAGGAACCGGAAGTCTACTGCCACGTATCTGGAGAATGAATTGAGACGTAGTGTTGTTTGCACCCCCGTCCACGGCTTATGGTGAAAGTAATTTAAGACAGAAAAACATTCTGGACAGGCGAGGGTAGACGAATAGCGGTAACCGAGAACATCTGAACATTCTATTGTAGTAAAAGCAAAAATGAACAAACTCAAATGGTCGGCATAGTTAAATGGTTACTAAGTACAGACAATACATGCATCGGTAGGTGAGAAAGGGTGCGTGAGCAAAAGCAATGACAGGGAAAGGAGCACAAGAGGGAGCAACGGAAACTAACAAAGCCAAGGGATACATATATAATAGGAAACTCGTTCAGGGGGCAACATTGATAGATAATACACGATTGTCAAGCGAGGACAACTTTTGTTCTGATTTTTGGGGATTTCGTAAAGTCATCAAGGGCATGCATGGCATGCAATTAGCCCTGGGCAATCATGGCGGCATGTTCGTCGTAAATGCTCTATCGTAACCAAGTACAAGAAGAGGGGATACAGGAAAAGGGAAAGAGCTCATGGCCAAGTCATCCGAAAATACTACAGAGACGGTGGCATGGGTCTATTTCGCCTATAAAGTGGGAATAATAAAAAGAACACGAAGCGAAATTAGTGTACGCCATTGAAGTCTATGGACGATGTCTGCTGCGACAACAGCAGCTCATTATAGGGGGTTTTTCGAGGAAATTAAACGGAACAATTAGTTTCTACCCGTCGAATGGGTACTCGTGAGATCCGATCTTACCATATCTCGAATCGCCCATCTCCATCCATCACCATGCGCTGTGCGGTCTGCGGTGACCCACTTGCTCACCTTCCGTCTCCACTTTTCTTCTTCCGCACGCTGCCTCTTGATGAACTCTGGGCCAACATCGAATTCCTCCGTAATTGGCCATTCATCGGATGATTCACCAGCACTTTTGTCTTCTAGGTTAACGATATTATCCAGGGCCGTCATATCGCTCGAGGTCTGCGCTTCTCTCGGGACATTATATGACTTTTGCGGACGTTCTTGTAGATCATCTAGGCCTGCTAGGACTTCTTCCTCGTCAGGAGCGAGTGTGATGTTCTCCTTGCCAGATTGGGTCGCGGCAACTTTTAACCAGCACATGCGCTGAGGATCAAATACCATTCCCCCTACGATTTGGACGCCAGATGTAGCCCCAACATGAGTGATGAGGGCAGGTGCGGCTCTGGGGGATCTTGGCGATGGGATTTGTTCAAATTCAACTGTTGCATTTTCATTACCTTCCCATTTGTACGTTGCCGGATTGTATCGCATTCCCTTGATGGCTGGACATGGCATAAGTTATACGAGTCACAGAAAATGTGACATTGGATATTGATAACTTACATTTTGCTTCATGGACGCCGGCACCCATAGGTTTTATAAGATGGGGTTTATGGTCACCTGACCCCTTTCCACGACGATTCTTTATGGAATTATGAGGCGGAGGCCGTACAGGGCCTGGGGATTTCCAGTTTGTACTAAGAGGGACCAACGGTGTAATCTCACGATTTTGCGCAAAGGTCATTGAAGCAATTCGCTGCTCTCTGGCATTTCTCGAGGCATTGGTGTCTCGCGCAAATCGAGGAGTAAAGTCGTGCTTTGTAGGGCTGGTATGGGGGCGTGGGATTGGGTTGTGGGCCATGGGGGGAGGTACAATATGGTACTGGCTAAGTCTGTTTCTCATAGACCTGGGAACACCATACTTTATCGGATGTTTGACAAACTTGCTCTCTAGGGAAGCTGAGGTTGGAAGATCATCGAAAATGTCCAACTCTGAGCCATCGCCAAAATTTCTGCGCCTGTTAGGTCTGGTAATCGTTTGTTTTACGGTAGCAGCTAAAGATTCTGGGCCAAGATCAAATCGAAAACGCCCTGGAGTTTCCGGATGGTCACGGTTGGAGAGTCCGGATGTTGAACGCGGGTTCGAAAATAAGTCTGCCGAGCTGTCCGAATCGGTACGTCGATAATGTCGGGGAGTTTTAACGTTAACATGGTGGGACTTATTGTGCGCTGCTCCAGCTGGGAGAAAAGGAACAGAGGGGCGACGGCCGCTAGCCAGGCGAGATTCAGCGGTGGGCGTTTTAGGACGAGACGAATTTGAGGGCCTAGTGGTGCAATCTTGTCGAGAAGGGGGTCGTGCAATGGGTGTTATCCCGGATTGTACGTTACGCAACGCTGGTACGGATCGCTTTGCTTTCAGGAGCTGGGCATTGGTAGTAGTGGGTGGGCTCCGCAACGTATCCCCAGATGTCCTGTTCCCTAACGATCTACGGCTCGGAGTCTTTTGAGGTGGAGACATTGATGGTGGACTGGGAAGAGGGATACTTGAGAGAGACGAATGGGTACTCTGGGTACTGTGGCCACTTAGACGCGAATGTGGCCGTCGATACTTGGGAGGTGGCGCCCCACTTTCGGAGACTGGCTCGAGGTGGGTAGAATGAGGGCGTTCATGGCCGGATAATCTAGGTATTCGAGTGGTAAGGGGTGTTGGAGGTTTGTTGGTGAATGTGATGCTGGTGGCGGTACGCCTCGCTGGGCTAACAGGCCTGGTAGTTTTGAGTTTGATATTACGGTTCAGAGTCAGTTTACTCGAATCAAAAATCTCACCATCACCGATTTCAATGCCAGAAAAGAAATCCTCATTAGGCGGGGCGGCACGCTTTGGGCTTTGTTGTGGCGCAGAAGTTTGAGGCGAATGTGACAACTGATATTGCTGCCTCCTCTTGATAGCCTGCTCAAGATCCAACGGGCCATCTGGCAATAGGAGGCCATCAAGTCCATCATCTTCACTTTCAGCAGTTAAGCAACTCGAGACACTTGGACTCAGTACTGAGACTGTGGAGCTACGATTAGAAAATCCGTCTCTCTTTGTCCCACCAAAACGCACTCCAATGCTACCCTCCGCCCAATCAGTGTCAAGGTCATCAAGGGAAGGTTCTAGAGATTTAATTCTGTCTTTTCTCGTGGAGAGTTTCAAAGGTTCACCATCAGGAGGGAATTCCAGATCAGACTCAAAGTTTTCATCGTCTTCAGTTGGTTTTGCCGTAGGTGTTGGGAGGATGGTCTGTTGCTGCCGTGATTTTGCAATTTTGATAGTTGGAACATCGTGGAAAGAGCTGTCGTCCTCCGTATCACGAAACCGATCTAAATTGGTAAAGTTCCGTTTCCGCGACGGTGAAAGATTGCTATTGTCAGTGATAAACGGATCGGAATCCAAATCTCGAGATTTCACAGGACTTAAGTCAGCAGGTGACCCAAGCTGGCGTAGCGAATCTGGGAATATCTCATCGAGATTCAATTTCAGTTTGAGGTCCCCCTCAACACCAGACAAGTCGAGATCTTCTGACCAATCGTCTCCTAGGGTCTTTTTGATTTTTCTGCCACCAAGGCGCTTTATCGTGCCACCTAGCAAAGCCGAGCTGGGTACATCAGCAGGAAGCGGAATGCCGGCACTTTTGGCAGAGGCGATTGCGTCCTTTGTTGCAGCCTCATCATTGTCATGTAACAGCAATTGCCAATCCTCCTCATCGCCACCATTAGAATCCAGATCAGATCTGCAGGAACGACGAGAAGATATAGAGTCACGATGGCCGGATGGCCGGAAGGAAGACGATCCTGCCACAGAGGTACCGGCCGAAACAGTACGGAACTGGATATAATCATTACACTGTAGATCTTCGTCGTCATCCCAGCATTCGATTGCTTCGCCCGCTTGAGATTGGCGCAGCCTCAGGGGAGATGTGTCCATACTGAAGGAACCTCCAGCCGGATTGGCTCGTCCGTAGCTGTTGTAGTTCGTGTATCCAAGAGAATCTAATTCTATCTTCATAAGATAGTATCAAGTAGAACTTCTTGTGCCTGTTGGTGAACTTAGACGTTGACCTCGGCAGACACGATAGAAGGGAGGATGACAAGTCATTCCGTGTTGGCCTCGCCACCTGACTGATATTAATAGGTTTCGGGTAGGTTGGAGGTGGCTGGGCCGAAATCAAAAGAAAGTGTTCGTTGATGGTGTAATTTTTTTTTTTAAGGGCTTAAGCGGTCGATCTTTGGAATTTCAACGAGCAACAGACGAGAGCTCTCAACCTGGCTCTCTTCATGTAGAGTAGATAAAACCACTGTGGACAAAACTCGATTAAACAGGTTATACAAGGTCGGCCCAGATGGTTGAGCTTAGGCGGAACTTGGATATTGGGCAACTGACCGGGACAGCTGGATATAGTTGGGATCGAAATTGTTGCGAGTTGAAAGGAAGAGGGCGGGACAATGGCTGGACGGTAAAGTAGCCTGAGAAGCGGTAATGGAAGTGCAGCTGGAGGGTCGAACGGTGAGACTCAATATAGCATCCTCGTCGTCGTCCTCGTCGTCGCTCGTTGTCGGTGCTTGATGCCAGGGCAGGAGGAGGTTGGGGACAAGCGCGGAGTCCAAACGCGCTTAGGCGGCTAGTCCGGAAATGGTTCTTTAAGCGAAGGACCAGCGCCGCGGCGCGTCGGCCCCACGCGTAACCCTGGTTCAGTATCACGTGCGTATATGGTACGTTTGGTAACTTTGGTGGGTGTTATGACGATACCAGTACCCGCTGATAATTCCATCACTGCTGCCTTGCAACATGCCATCTATGCCCACAAACAAAACTTTCTTAATCGACCAAACCACTTTTTCTATGTATAATCTCACCTATATATATAAATCATGGCCAAAGAAACGATTCTGCGCATACCAAGAAGTGATAGTCCTGGAGACTTTATTTTGGTTAAGGTAACTAGGCCAGGTAGCTCAGAGCTTGACCTCAAGCTGGTTGCCACAGAGGGGGAAGCTCCGTATAGAGGTTCAGGTATAGATAAACTATTGACATTTATTAACGGCGAATTTATAGCTAATGTCCATTAATGTAGTAAAATCCGCTCAAATCGACAAACTGCGTGCCAAAAATTACCATGGCGCTGACGACGAGTGGACGGGTATTCTTGCATACGCGCTTGGGCAGAAGCAGTCCGCATCGGTGCCTGAAAAGCATAAGTCTGGGCTGGAAATTGCAGCCACTGTGAAGCAAGACGAGGATGATGAGAGCGAGAAGGATATTGTCATCAGTCTGAGGAAGAGAATAGATACAATCACGGTATAGAAACTCTCACCCTTACCCTTTGATCTGATCAGTTCTGATACTCTTCCCTCCTTTAGCAAAGATTGGGAACCATCTCCCTCAAGCAGGATGACGATCAGGCCATTCAACTTTTCGACTGGACTGGGATGGCGGTGGCGCGAGCGGATGGGCTGGAGGATGAACTGGCCTCCTTAACTGCGAAATATGATGCCCTAGAGAGCACCATTAACAAACTGAATTCACAATTGAAGGAACTAATAAAGGCCAAAACGGAGCATGAAGATCAGTTGATCGCCAAATTTGCCCAGCTATTAAATGAAAAGAAGTTGAAAATTAGAAATCAACAACGCTTGCTCGCGTCGGCAAAGATTGATCCATCCAAAGGTTCGCAGAGACATATTCCAGTTTACTCGTCTTGTCTTGTCTATACTAACATATTGTGTCTAGTGGATGAGATGAGCGCTTCCGCTCCATCAGAAACTGGGAGTACAAAGCGGCGCGGTAAGCGCAAAGCCGAAGAACCCGCCGTATCGTCAGAGAGCGAGGGTGGTTTTGATACAATGGATGTAGACAAAGCTAGAAAACAGGGTAAAGCTAATAGGGATACTGAAAAAGAGGATGAAGGAGAAAACGAGGACCTCCTTACGGAATCGGACGGGCAAGAAACCCCGGATCCACTCGAAGATGAAACTGCCACTGAAGACGAAGCAGATGAGCCAACAAAAGCACCCAGCCCTCCCCCAACAGTGAATGGTGGAAAGAGAGCTACACGTTCATCGTCCAAACAACCGACATCGTCGACAACAACGACGAGGAAAACGACAACATCGAGCCCTCCGCCACGCCGGGAGCTTCCATTTACCAGGAAGAGGGGACCTGTGAAACCTACTCCTGTGGTGGGCGATGATTCTGACGAGGATGATGAATTGTGATGATTTTTACGGTGGACATTGAGCCAATGGCACAAATTTCCTATCTTTGCAGCTTAAGGCCAAAGTTAATATGGTATTAAGGTAATAAGCGCACAATCGTGACAACTCGCGGAAAGGCCCGTCTATATCAGATGACGACGACGATGATTTAGTTGAGTCCATGGCTGACTTCTTACCTGGTTCTTCAAATTCTTATTTATCTCTATGATTGGATAAATGATTTACTCTTAAATGTTGCAGATGGTTAAAAGCGATAGATACCCTTCTACGACTGTGTACCCAAATTCCTGCTCTTGCCCCACTTCTTGGACTGTATCATGATATCAAACAAACCCCTATTGTTTTGCTAGAGAATATCCACGTATCTTCCTCAACGAAAACTTCAATAGAAAGTCCAATTTAAGTCTTGTACTCCCGCATAAGTAGCAAAAAGACGATTTATGTATTCCTGGCTCATTTGCCCTATCGTGCCGTGTTCCCTGAACAGCTAAGAAGGTGTAATGAAGCATTGAGGAATACGACAACGGGGAGAACAAGACATGCAGACTATAGTAAACCCCGTACGGAGCACATGCACATCCATAGTTCGAGTCAAATGATCTCCTTTCCGCGCTTATTCTCACTCTCTACTTTATTTACCACCAGTTCGCAGTTGTGTGTGGGGTTTTTTTTTTTTTTTTTTTTTTTTTTTTTTTTTTTTTCACGTCATGTATTTCTTACATCCCATTTGTTGAACAAAATATCTTCTATCATCAAGTTATCACAAATTCAATCGTATATATACACGAACAGCTACACTACCTATTTTATATCTAGAAACCAACAAAGAGAAAAACAAACAAAAAAAAAAAAAAAAAAAGTGGGTGAAAGAGAGGGATATAGAGAGAGAGCGAAACTTATCATCCCGGATAAACTGGCGTGGGAGAAGGGTCACTATACATTCCGTAGGTGCAAAGGGAGACACTGATGAACCAAAAGAAACAGCTTAAAGTTAAACGATTCAACCGAAGAAACAAATGCTAACAAAGGGGAAAAAAAAAAAAAGGGGAAATAGCTTGCTAATTTGTTTGTTTTGTATTGTATTGTATTGTATTGTATTATTTTTGCTTTGCTCTGCTCTTTGATTTTGTCTCAAACAAAAAAATGGAATGGACTGGACTGGAAAGTAATAAAAAAAAGAAGATAAAAAAATAAAAAAATAAATACAGTGAGAAAAATGGGGGATGGGACCTATATTACCAGTTTATGCACTCGACGCACCGCCAAGGCGCTGTTGCTCCTCCACCGCACTCCCAATCATGAAGTTATTATCTGGATTTCCGGTCTCCTTGGCAGCTGAGCAACGCGCCATTGTCGGGGAGCTAGAATAACAGTTAGCATAAACCATCATCAAACGAAAAGAGAATAGAGGGCGGCGGCGGCGTTCAAAAAAGAGTCTCACCTTCTCGATATCGAATCCGTAAAGTAGAAGTTCTCAATAGCTCTCTTAAATGGCTCGTTCCCTGCCACGGCACCCTTATTCTGATCCACAAGCTGCACTTTACTCAACGCACTCACGCTAGCAGAGGTGTTCTCCACAACATCATACCGACGCAGCGCGGGCGAGATCATCTCCATCCGATCCCGTAGCATCTCTACATCGTCGTACGGTAGCGGTGCGCCGAGGAACTCGCTGGCAGCGCGGATGATCTTCCAATCATCGCGGGCCGCGCCGGGCGGAGAGGTGGCGGCCCGTGTCATCTGGACTCGACCCTCGGTGTTGACATATGTGCCGGATTTCTCGGTGTAGGCGGTACCAGGGAGGACGACGTCGGCAAGCTGGGCGCCGCGGTCACCGTGGTGGCCCTGGTAGACGACGAATGCGGACCTGGGGATGTCTGCCTCAGCGATCTCGTCGGCACCAAGGAGCCAGACCATCTTTGGCACTGTGGCGGCGACGTCTGGAGAGGGCGTGGTGAAGCCGACTTCGTAGGCACCGGCACGCGAGGCGGCACGCTGCAGGACGTTGTAACCTTGCCATTCAGGGGTGTTGAAGGTAGCAGCATTTTTGTCGACGAAGCCACCGACGGTTTCGAAGATAGCCTTTGCGTCTGGGTGTTCGGCGGCAGCGGAGCCGACAATGATCATAGGTCGCTTAGCGGCAGCGAGGGTCTTGCCGAAGGGGCCTGCGAGGGCGGATTTGAGATTTGAGGCTGCGGTGCCGAGATGCTCGAAGTCAAAGGTGCTGTCGAAGGTTTCGCCGACGAGACCGATTTGGAGGTCTGAGCGAAGGTACTGCTTGCGGATGCGGGCGTTGAGGATAGCAGCTTCGTGGCGGGGGTTGGTGGCGACGAGGAGGATGGCGTCGGCTTCTTCTATACCGTAGATTTTGGAGTTGAAGAGGTAGTTTGATCGTACATCGATGCCGTGTGCAATGGGAGCGCTGCCGCCCGGTTGGTCAAGAGCCAGATTATCGGATCCAAGCTTGTTGGCGAGGTCCTTCATGGCAACCAGGGACTCGGTCTCGACAAGATGTCCAGCGACAGCTTTGAATTCATTGGCCTTGGGTGCAAGCCGGCGGAACGCGCCTCCGATCTCTGCCAGGGCCTGCTCCCAGGTAACAGGGACGAATTTGTTATCTTTCCTGACCAAGGGAGTGGTGAGTCGTTGAGTTCGGAGTCCATCACAGGCAAATCGAGTCTTATCATTGATCCATTCCTCATTGACATCATCGTTCAATCTGGGCAGAATGCGCATGACTTCCATTCCACGGGAATCCACACGAATGTTCGATCCCACAGCATCCAGAACGTCGATAGATTCAGTATGTTGGAGCTCCCAAGGTCGGGCTCGGAAGGCATATGGTTTCGACGTCAGAGCACCGACAGGGCACAGATCAATAACGTTACCAGATAATTCCGAATCCAGATTCTTTTCCAAATAAGTGCCAATCTGCATCTCATTTCCTCGGCCGGTAGTTCCTAGTTCCGGGGCACCAGCTATGTCATTTGCAAAGCGGACACAGCGTGTGCAATGAATACACCGGTTCATCGAGGTCTTGATCAACGGTCCAATATTTTTATCTTCCACAGCGCGCTTGCCTCCTACTTCGTGGAATCGTCCACGGTCTGCGCCATATCTCATTGATTGGTCTTGTAGGTCGCATTCACCTCCCTGGTCACAGATTGGGCAGTCCAGGGGATGGTTGGCGAGGAGGAATTCCATGACACCTTCTCTCGCTTTGTGTGTGAGGGGGGAATTGGTCTTGACGACCATTCCTGGTTGGACTGGCCATGCGCATGATGCGACCGGTTTGGGTGCTCGCTCGACCTCGACTAGACACATTCGACCTGTTTCTGGCTATTAGCATGGCATTCTTTTCACTCCATAGGGTAGTCACGGGTAGTGATAAACGCACAATTTCCTGCAATCAAGAGTTTCCTAATATTTTATTTAATAACCTAGTTCATCCGAGGGGGATAGGAGTGGGAGGGAAAAGCTGCATAAAACTTACTCATGATAACAATATCTGTACATTTAGTTAGTCAGGTAGACCAAACCAATCAAGGGTGCAAAGCCATTGACTATACATACCGAGGAATTGTGACACCCGCCTTCTCACACGCTTGAATCAAAGCTGAACCAGCTGTTTTATACCAACAGAGTCAGCATAGCTCATAACCCATCAAATCCCAATCCAATTCACTCCGGCATATAAGACCCCGGGGATCCAAACAGCACTACTAACCTTCTATCGAGACCTTCTTCCCATCTGTAAAAAAAAAAAAAAAAGAGAACACAAGTCCAAGTCAGTCAATCAACACACATCCAACCCATATTTATATATCAATCCCTCCCTCATCCCTTTCAATTACGATCCACGCACCAATAGTAAGTTCCACCTCCGCCGGCCGCGGCGCTGTAGTCGCGAACGACCTTGACCTCCCCGCCCCCGCCGCACAGCTGTTGGAGCCGTAAATGTAACCGAATCTGCCGCACTGGTGGCGCGGGGAGGGGGAGAGCTGCTGCCTCCTCGATCTGGCCGCCGCACGGAGGAATTGCGGCCGCATCGTTTTTGACGGTTTATTTGTGGACGTTCCAAATCAAGTTAAACAAAACAAAGAACGCCAAAAAAAAGGGCAAAACGAGGCAATGGATAAAAAGGAAACGAGTAGTGGGTAGTGGTAGGAGGGAGGAAGGGAGGGAGAGAGAGGGCGGTTGTAAATGTAGGACCCCGCCGTCGTCAGGGCTCAATTGATATCCGCAGTATCTCTCTTGCTGGTCCCGTCTCTTTTCTCTTGGGATGTCGTCTACCGGGAAGGAGCGAGCCCACGTGATGTGGAGGATTACCAAAGCCAAATATCCCCGCCGCTGATTGGGCAGGCTGGAACAACCCCTTCTCCGGGGCCGAACAGCCGAAAAAATAATAAAACTTTGCTTCTGCAACCCGTTTCCTTTCTTCTCTTTCTCTTCCCTTTCACATAAAAATTATACTCATTACGGACATGATTTATTGTAGGAGGAAGGGATATACGTATATATATAGATATATATATATACTCCTGCACCCTTCTTCCTCTACAGTATGCTCCCAGAGAAATATAACTGGCGCCGTAGCTGGAGCGGCTTAGGGATTCTTCTTTTCGAGGAAGCCCCCATGAGGATGTTTTCTGTTCCTTACCGACGGTTGCTACATGAACACATAAATGTATATCTATATATATATTCTGGGTGGTTGGTGGGCGGGTGATGGACATTAGGGTTTTCGGGATTACGAGGACGTCAGAAAAGCGCCTAGATGAGCTCGACACAGAAAATATATTTCTTTTTCCAGACTTTTGGTTCTTCTTGAGAACGATGCGTTGATATTTAAAATTCTCTAAACGGACACACGTGTCATTAACAAATTATTTAAAGAAAAAAGTACTACTATACATTAAAGCAACCATCTTGTAATAATTCTCTGATCTTTATGTACCTTCCCACCTTATTACCAATGTCTTTCGGTGTCCCAGCCTCAAAAGCATCTATACATAGATCTATGACAAGGTCTCTAGGGGAGAAACGAAAAAGCAAAGAAATGGCATAATACACAATAATACACAAAGGACACAAAAGCCCATCAGAAGCCAGATAAAATGGCCGTGTTGAAGCAGAATGAAGAGGAAGAGCAGCAGCAGAAGGGAAATCAAAAATATGGCAGAAGACGCATTAAAAATGGAACAAAATAGAAGAAAAACAAAATAGGGAAATACATATCTATCCAGCAGTTGCTCTCGTACATAGCATAGTTTAAAAAATAAGAGGACAGTAGCCCTGTAGTTTGGAAGGTATATAGTAAGTATGGGTGTAATGTGCAACGGTTCCAAGGTTCAAGGTAACCGTGTAACATAAAACAAATCAAGAAGTAGAAAAAAGCCAAAAACTCCGCCCTCCTTTTTAGTTTTAGTTTCGTTCAGTTGATCTTGGTCCGCCCGTAAGAAGAAGAATAAAACGAAGAAACAAAGTAATAGAGGTATGATAAAAAGGAGATCCTGGCACCTTGATGTAATCAAACTGGGGGTGGGAAGTGATCAATTAAATATATCGAGAGGAAGACGAGATAGGAAGGTGTGAATAAGGCGAATGACAAAAAGAAAAGGGGAAAATGCACCCTCATGTTTATGTTGTCTCCGTTTTAAAACAGAACGCCAAATGGGGGAGAAAAAGAGAATCTGTGCATCGTTAGAAAAAACACACTGTTTAAACCGTTTCGAGGAGAAAGAAAAAGAAAAAAAAAAAAAAAAAAAGAAATGTTAACAAAACATTAGTTCTATCAATTTTTTGATGGCGTCACTTGGGAATCACCCTCCTGCCACGTCGACTCCTGCTTCGTCCCCGGAGGCAGCCAGACAGGACTCGCTTTCCTCGCATGTCCATGTCGGTTGGGTGACGCATCATCCTTCTCCTTCTTCAAACTGTGATGGCGCGGAGGCGGCTTCGCATACTCTGCTTGCGACTTTGATATCGACGGGAACACGTACCCGTTTGAGTCCCACGGTCTGCTGCTGCTCGGGCCTGAGACGCCACCAGCACCACCGTTGCTGTTCGTGTTCAGCGGTAACAGAGGGTTCTTATTAGTATGGTAGAAACGGTCAGCGTTGGCCCGGCGGTTTGCAGCGTCGTCGTGGCTGGTTCGGTCGTAGAGGTAGAGACCTAGGAATGTGAGGCCGATACCGAATGCCTGTACAGAGGTTGTGGAGCTGCCGAACCAGACGATAGCAACGACAATGACGAAGACGCGTTTGATGAGGGAGGCGACGGAGTAGGAAACGGGGGAGATCATGGAGAGAATGATGAAGGCGAGGATGTTCTGCGCGAAGTGGGAGACGCCGTTGAAGACGAACTCGAGCATGAGAGGTCCGTGGTCCAGAGTGCCGGACTTGGTGGATAGGTTTATGGAGAAATCATGCAGGAAGTCTTTTGTTAGGTTGTAGCCTTCGAAGACGAACCAGATGGGGAGGGTGAGGAGGAAGGCTTGGCCAGAACAGTAGTAGAGGAGGTTGAGTTTGTCGAGTTTGCGGGGACCGCCTGCGTGGTCTTCCGTTTCAGCGCGGTTGGATTCGTTGAAAAGTTTCTTCGAGAAGATGTTCTGGGAGACGAAGACGAGGGCGGCGCAGAAGGCGCAGAGTATACCAAAGAAATTGGTAGAGAAGCCTGAAGAGCAGGCAAGCATCACGCCGGTTGTGAGTGGGACGAGGGACAGATACGTTGCCCTGGCATACTTGATTCGGAAGATGATGCGGTAGGCAAGCACTGTAAACAGGGGCGACAGGCCCTTAATCGTATGGACCATGGAGACGGGTATTTGAGATGTGGCCATTGAGCTGAGGATGTGTCCTAGAACCTGGAAGACGGCCAGGGGCAGCGTGGTCCTTATGACATCAACGGATGGCTTCTGCAAACCATTTTTTAGGGCGGGGATAGCTCGCCGCAGGGCGGGGAATAGGGAGGCGAGAGTGGCGAGGACGGAGCACCATATTGATACGAAGGCAAATTGGATGATTGTAAGAGTAATTGGTTTTGAAAGCGTAGTTAGGATGGACTTGGAGGAGGTGTTGGTGAGAGCGGAAGTCATATACCAGATGATACAGAGACCCTGTTCGAGGAGAAAACCACGACTTGGGTTAGTTTCGATCTCCAAAAAACGAACTCGGGAACCCAAAACAATGAAACGTACAATAAGTCTATATGAGACAGGAGCTTTTAAAGCCTCCGCCAGCTCCTGGGCATTGACACTGACACTCGTGCCACGATCTCTAAAGCCCCCGATGGCCTCGCTGATACTTTTGCGCGGGCGCTGTTTACGGCCAATGGGGGAGAGGGAAGCTTGTTTCCGCGGTAGCCATCTGGTAGGTTGCGAATAGCGCAGTGACTGATGGTTGTTGAGGCTTTTCTGGTCGGTGGACGTGGGCGCAACGGTGTCGTCGAAGAGCGGGAATTTATCCAAGGGCGAGTGCGAGTTCTGGGAGGTTGTCATTTTCGGTTTCCAATTGGGCAACAACACAGAAGAATGCAGGCCCGTGCCAACGACTGTCGTGGTGCTCATGCTCAGACCAGGGCCGGGCTGAGAAGAGACAGTGTGTTGGAGGGGGGTGGAGGTTGTTGTTGTAGGAGAGATCGAGAGAGTGAGATATCGAGAGAGAGGAGAGAGGAGGAGGGGACGGACGGGACGGTTGTGGTTGAATGTCCAAGCCCTGGATGACGACGAACGGGGGTGGGTGAGCTTAATTCGCGGACAGGCGAGCGTGGGTCTAGCCAGAGCGGACTTGGTGTTCGATTTTTTCGATTTGTCTGCCGGAAAAACTACATACCGTCCCACGTGATCAAACTCCCATTAAAACTACTTGGCACTACTCCGTACACACACCACACTTCAACTCTCCAGATCGTTCTACAAGATTGAATAGTGATCTTTTTGAAAGCTTTTGCCTCTTATTAACTACTTCCGTAATTATTTATATAGTTTAACTTAACTTAGTCCTATAAACGCCAATTTCCTCTGTGCCTAGTCTTGAAAAGCGGTGAAAGGAATTAGTAATAGACGCCAAGGACATCGTTTGTGTACTTTTAGATGGGCAGCGGGGAAGTTGGCTCTTTCTCCCAACCCTAATTACAGATATTAGAACCATGTTAAACCCCGCTGGACCTAGGACCAACCAACCTTCACCTTCTGCTTGAGCTAGAAGAGAACCAGCTTGGCAAGACGGACAGGATAACGCTGGTGATTGGCCTGCGCCTGCTGAGATTCGACTGTCATTTTAAAATAAATTCTTTCTTGTCTGGCCAGATATACATAGCATCATAATGCTTTCTGATTTCTGCTGTGTCAGTTCATCTCTATTTGATATCAACATATTTCTCTTTGTCAACAACCACCGCTGGTAGTTAAATGAACATCCACCCCCCGGAGTAAATATCATCCCCGAATTAGAAAAAAGCCCGGCAAACTACTATGATAAACCCTCCCAGGAATCTTCCTCTTAACGGACCTATCTACATGTAACTACTAACTACACGGGGGGTTGGTTAGAGTGTAAGAGAGGCAAAATATGTCCCACAGTTTGCTGGAGAAGAGGAAAAATATACGACAAGCACTTCGTACCTGGCAAAGGCTTGCAAGAAACAACTTTTTGCCGCACACATGCCCTGTGTTCAATCTCCTTCTACTACGCAGCGTAGAGGCACAATCTGTGTGCATCGAAGCTCTGTTGGCGTTTTTCTAACTCGTCCTGGATATTCTCATAAGCTTCTTTGGTTCGGAAAAATCCTGGAGAATAGTTATGCCGCCCCCGGATAACCTCCTCGTTTAGGGATATTATATTCTTCTCTTCTGAGTTGAAACCTCGAAACCACCATTTTGTCCGCTATTAATTAACTCTTATTAATTTCGGATATGCCATATATTTTCTCATTCAATGTTCAATAAAGCATGCTGGTTCTGGCCACACCAATCCTCTCTATATATCCCCTAAAAGCATAATTTTCCGTGCAAAACATACATATACATACCTGCCGAGGTGCCTAGCACTTGACACAGAGATAAGCTTGATGTGGAAACCTCGCTATTCATGTCTATCATTGATTGGTCATGTATTGCACGCGGAGTACTTTATTCTACCCTAACTGACACCTAGATATGGTGGCTGATATATGATCAAGGAATTAAGTCATACAAATGGTCGCGAGTCCCCTGGCATCTGGTTTTTGTAGCTCTTACCCCATATCGCCGTATCTGGAATTTCCTAAATGATCATGATGATGGTGATTGTTGATGATTATGGAAGAACGGCAAATGAAATTGAAAAACAAAACAATGTATAGCCTGTGGAGAGCCTATCCGTTCTTCATCCATGTTTGTTTGTTGCTACCATCCTCGTCATTCCTATTATTCCTGCTTCCTGATGCACTGGGCGCAGACATAAATGTAGCACCATTGCTTCTCCCAGCCGAGGAGGGGAAATGGGATATGGATATGGATGTGAATAGAGCCCTAGCTTCCATTTCCATCTCGAAAACATGGCATGTTCTTGGACCGTTCAAAACTGGTACAAGAGGTCAGTATATCCATTTCGTATACCTGAACACTGCATCAGAGCATGCAACGCAAAACAGCAACATCAACAAATTGACCATGGTTGCAAACTGATTTTTCCATTGTTCCCATGAAACACCTACAGAAGCAACATGGGGCGCAGATCCGCTCGAGGTGCTCGGTGGATTCCGCAATATGTCCTATACCAACGATCCCGCTGCTAGATTCAGCAGCGCCCTGGGCGTTAACGGGTCCGTTGGTTGGTCTATCCTGGAAGCGACGGAGCCTGAACGGGACGATTCTGCATCTACCAGCGCAAAGGTCACCCTCGACGTCGGCTTTCCGGACGTGGACTGGGAACTTCTCCGGTCGTTTTATGGCTGGGCGGGACTACAGTATCAAGCCTGGGCGCGAGGACATTTTAATGTGACCACGCGGGCTGTTGCTGGTGGTTATACGAGTAGTTCTACCGTGGCTGTGTATACGGATGGATTGCTGGAGGTATGGATTGACGGAGAGCCGTTCTTTGGCGGCGATTTTTATGCATATCGACGGGCGCCGGTTACTCTGAAACTGGCGGCCGGCTCGCATGTTGTTGATTTGAGGTTGGTGAGGGATGTGCGCGCGTTGGGTGGTGTGGGAGAACCGAGAATACGGGCTGCCGTGGAGGTTCAGTTGATCCAGCCTTCTTTGGCTGGTGACGGTACTGGCAGTGATGATAATGATGAAGTGGTGTTGGGCTTGAAATTGGATGCGGGAAGTGTGCTTGTTGCAGACGTCGTAGAAGGGAAACTTGCTAGTCCCTTTGCTTCTGTTATCGTGCGGAATGAGCATGATGGATGGGCGGAGATTACGGACATTAAACCTGTTCGCGATATAAAATCTACTAGACCGATGGTGGTATTGATCGATAGCCCGATAACGCTGGCTCCGCACCAGTCGCGCCCAATAGGTTTGAAAATCGATTTTGATGACCAGGCTCCCTCAAACTTCTCCTTCCAGCTCGTCTATACAATCGAGTCTGCGGGCAAACAGCGGAAAACAAACCCGGTGACTGCAACTGCGGTACCGCGCAAGATATCAGATCCGCAAAAATATACCTTTCTCCACCCCAGCGGCATCGTATCCTACGCCATTTTGCGGCCGCCCTTGAACGCCTCCTGCAATTCCGCCGCGGCCAGTGGCGATGAACATAGACTTCCCATTCTAGTTGACCTGCACGGCGCGGGCCTCGAAGCTGGTAATGAACAGGTTAGGCATATGCTGGACGATGCGTACGGGGTATGTTCATGGATACTGTTCCCGACGGGTGTGACACCGTGGAGTGGGGATGATTGGCGTAAGTTCTACTTCCGGCTCCCTGGGATGGAAGAGGTATACCTATATATATATATATATATATGTGTGTGTGTGTGGACAAGTCTTGCTCACGTGGATGATAGATACTTGGGGTGCTGCGGACGTGCAGGCTGCGGTTGATGCTATACCGAACTGGATGCAGTCGGTGGCGTGGGAAGGGCTGGGAGCGGCTTTAGATGATTGGCTTGTGTCCGGTCATTCGAATGGAGGCCAGGGAACGTGGTTCTTTCTCACACATCAGCCTGATAAAGTTATCGCGGCTGCTCCAGTTTCGGGATACTCGTCGATTGAAAGTATGTATGACCAGCACTTCTGGCATCATAAATGCGTTTACAAAGCGGAGAGCTAACTTCCGATTTTCTTTCCTCCTTCGTTTCAGATTACGTGCCATTTACCATGTGGCATGATGGACAGGCTACTATCGCGAGCGTGATCCAGACAGCTCGGCAGAGCTTCAAGCACGAATTGCTAATGGGGAACTTTAGAGGAATCCCCATTCTCCAACAACATGGATCTGCAGACGATAATGTCCCTGCATACCACTCACGGCTGTTACACCAGCTAATCTGGGAAAATGGCTGGCATTCTGAATACCATGAACTCCCAGGAAAGGGGCACTGGTTTGATGGCGTCTTAACCACGCAACCACTGCTGGACTTCTACTCTCGTCATACCAGCAATTCTTCTTCCTACGACCACCTCCTCCCGGAACGCTTCTCCTTCTCTATACCTAACTCAGGAGATATGGGATCCCGAGGTGGCATCATGGTAGACCAGCTATCGTCGCCGGATAAATTCGGACACATCCAAGCGACCCGAAAAGAGGAAGGCGTGACTTGGCATCTAAAAGCACGTAACGTGCATCGTTTCCATCTCCTACCGTCTAGGATGCGTGTAGCGGTATATCCTAGGGTGATTGTAGTGACGGATGGTGATGGGGGTGGCTCTGAGTCCACATTTCTAGTCCCAGCTGCGGACCAAGCCCACTCAAAATGGTTCGTCAAAGACGAGATTACGGGCAGCTGGACCGTCTCGAACGATGGATCCTGGCAGGACGATATCAGACAGCGGTACGGCCGGCAGAATGGTGCTATGGACGCGATCCTTCGCTCAACGGGTAGATTTACGATAAGGGTCTGCTCCCGGGACAGTGATGGAAGCGAACAGCTTATAAACGTGGCGCTGCAGATAAGTCGTAACTTACTTCAATATTTCGCAGCGGACTCACAGCTTCTGCCTCTGCAAACTGCCTGCAACAGCAACAGCAACAATAGTCACAGTAATAATAATGATCACATCATCGATGACCAGGAGGAAGAACTACGCGGGCCAGGAAACCTCATCACCATCTCAATCGGAAACGATCTACCACCACCACCCGCCTCCCTCGTCACCACGTTCCCCATCCACATAGCCAACGACCACCTGACGATCCGCACCACAACCTCAAACCTGCACACAACCACCCCAACCACAAAATCCTACCCCTTCGAACCAGACCTAGGCGCCATATTCCTGCGCCCGCGGCCACTTCCGCACCAACGCCTCGAGTTGGTCGTTTGGGGCGCCGACTTGGGCGGGTTACGGCAGGCGAGCCGGCTCGTACCGCTCCTGACTGGGGTTGGGCAGCCTGATTTTGTTGTTTTGAGTGAGCAGTGTCGATGGCGGGGGTTTGCGGGGGCGTATGCTGCTGGGTTTTTTGATTTTGGGTGGCGGGTTTCTGCGGGGTCGTATGTTGATTGATTTCGATTGGTTTGGTTTTCTAATTCCTTTTTTTTTTTTTTTTTTTTTCTTCTTTTACCATCCCATCCTTCCTCAGCCTTTTGACTGCTTTTTTAGGAGTGGGGAGATGGGTTCTGAGCCTGAGGCTTCCCGGACGCTTGTTCCCTTTATATAACACCGTCGCTGATGGGAATAGGCTGATACCCACGAAGTGATTGGCAAATGATGATGGTCATCTGGATATTCGGCTAGCCATATCTACCCTAGGAGGTATCTAGAAAAGGGTGTCACACTCAACATCCCTCAAGGTTGTTCTTTTTTCTTATTCTTTCTCAGCTGCTACCGCTCGTAAGCAGTGCTCAAAAGGGGAAGGGAAAAAAGGGTCATCTCAAGGGCTCTTCGTACTTCTGTTTCTTTCCATGCAGCGGCTAGCTGTGAAATATATCTGCTAAATATCGCACAATATACCCCGCTGCTTCTCCTTTCTTCCATCATGCAGTTTTTCTCTGCATGTCTACTTAGTTTGGATACCATTGTTCTGAGAGGAGTGATGTTTCTCTCACCCAACTATCTCTATAGCTCTGAAGTATAGAAGCTGCTATGGTCAGGATTGGTCAACACCCATCAGCCTTTATGATTCTCTTCCATACTGTATTAGTGCCAAAATGGAGTTGTTATCATCACCAGTGCAACTTCTCACTGCTGTTCACTCTTTGCCGGTATATCATGATATCCCTCAGGAGGTCCAAACCCTAACCCAGCTCAAAGCAGTTAAGGCATGCCTTCCATCTACACAAAAAAAAAAACTCGATGCTTCTTTCTTACTTATCATTCCTCTCCTCCTTTTCTCATCAACTTCTTTTTTTTCTTTCTTTCTTTCTTTCTTTCTTCATCATCTTCTTCTTCTCACCGTCGTAATCTACGCCTCTCTTTCCCTCAGTCTGTCGTTCTCTCTCTCAGTCTCTCTTTCTTTATTTAATCTTTCTATCATCTTCTTCAGTCTATTGCTCTTTCTCTTACTATTTTTGCTCCATCTCTTCGTCTATTTTCTCGCCATCGTTTGCCATTCTGTCTTGCTTCATCTTCTGCTTCGTCTTCGTGTTCTTCACAACCATCTTCTTCTACCATTTTCCCCATCTTCCCCATCTTCTTCAGCTTCTTCAGCTTCTTCCGTTCTGTCTGCTACGTCCTCAATACCACACGTGTTTGCTGCCCCTCTCAGGCTTCGATTTGACCCCCTGAAGAGACACAAGAAGAGACGCGTCAAGTTCATCTACTGATTCTCCCTACGCGTATTCTTTGTTTGTTTATTCCCTTTCGATTGCTCAAAAACAACCTATCATATCTTGCTTTGTTTGTGCTTCGCCTGCTCCCATATCAGATATATCTTTGTTATCTTATCTTCCAATTGGCTTGTCTTGTTGCTGAAAACTGTGGTGGTGTCTTACCCCCCTTAATTTACGTCAAATCTTGCTTCTCCTGTGCAAGACACCTCCTGCCCAAATCCCACAAACGCGACAACGTATAGAGGGATACAAAAAAGAGATTACTTCTGTCAAGATGTCATTCCCTGTTACTGGCTCTCCTGAAGCAGCGCGTAAAGCATCGATGCCGTTCCAGGGTTATGGTGACATTGGGAGTCATGGGCGTGTTAGCTCGGTGGGGACCTTCTTTTTTCCACATACGTGCCTCGATAACACATATTTTTCCTTGACGTTGAATACTAATACCTTCTTGTTTGTAGGGCTCGAAATGCACAACCTCTGGCGATGGCGGGCCCAACCCACTGGTTTCGTCAAAGCTGGGTAATATCCAGCCAATGGCCCTGAACAAGGATGAGGCCGGGCCTTCTAATAAGGTCAGATATAATATCTACAATATCTACACCGAGGCTCTCTTGCTCCCGACAATGATCTTGAAATATTTTAAATACTGATAATCATAGAAGCAGAAAGTGGAGCACGCAGGTTCTGCCCCTCGTACGGAGCTTCAACCATCTGCCATGGATCAGATCCTAGCAAAGTTGTCTCCAAAGGGAGGTGTTTCTGTGGAACAGCCATCCGTCAACGATGAGATTCTGGCCAAGCTGTCTGAGCACCAAACCATGTTGGAGAAACAGCAACAGATCCTTATTGACAAACACATGCGTTCTACATCCCAGAACGAGGGTGCAAACACCTCGACTCCTCACTTGAGTTCCGGTAATTCACCCAACTCAGGGGACAATACTTCGTCCAAGTCTAGCGGGGATAACGTGGATAAAGTGGATGCTATTGAAATGCTTCGTTTGAAACAAGAACTGGTTGCTGCCAATTCTCGTATAGCTCTTCAGGAACAAGAATTGGCTCAAACACGTGTAATCAAGCACACCCTGGACCAAGCTCTGGGTCCCCCCTCTGAGGCTGACTTTGGTGGCCGCGAGATCACTGAGCAGACTATAAGCAGTTTGCAAAATGCTTTCAATTCCTCTACGCGTCCCTTTAATCAGCGTCAGGAGACGTGGGTTACTCAAGACGACGCCCAGTCTGACATTTCGGATGCGCTGTCTGCTGGTGCTTATAACCGTGCTCGTGGCATCTGGAATAGTGGTCACCCTTCGTTCGTGATGAACGCTGCTGGTACCAAGGACACCCTTTATCGTGAGCATGCCACCTTGGGTAGCCCAACCATTACCCCGGACCCTGGTCGTAACTGGGCTGGTAGGCTGTCCCACCCGGGTTTTGGAGGGCATCATCCAGGTTATGCACCCAACCAGCGTGTTTTATCCGGTCCCGGGTCCCCCACCCTTGGGTTTGATGGCCGTTATACCGCCGAGCAAGCGCAGTATCTGCAAGGCCCTGGAAATCGGCACTCTTCGGCGAAGCTAAACCGTGGCGGGTCGTGCTTCCCACCACAAAACTCTCCCTGGGGAACCTTTTCTACAGTGGCCCCTGGTGGACCAACGACTCGAGCAGTAAGCAACCAGCACGCAGGGCCCTATCCCGGAATATTTCCTGGACCTGGTCAGTATCAGCCACGGCCCATTGGGACCCCCCTGTCTCCAACTGCAGCGGAGTTTACTGTTAATTCTGCTCCTGACACTTGGAGCACATCGGTGAGTAAGCTGTGAACGTTGTTTTATTTCAATTTTCTACTAACAATTTCAGTCTGCCTCTGGTGCGGTTCAAACCTATGTCTCGCCTCTTGAGCCGCTGAACTATCGTCGTCTACTTGACAAGAGCGTGTCCTGTGACTGGAAATACATTGTAGACAAAATTGTCTGCAGCAATGACCAGCAGGCGTCTATTTTCCTTCAGCAGAAGCTCAAGGTTGGAACGGCGGAGCAAAAGTATGAAATCATCGAAGCAATTGTTAACCAGGCATATCCATTGATGGTCAATCGTTTCGGAAACTTCCTTGTTCAGCGTTGTTTTGAACATGGTACCCCTGAACAGGTCATTGCCATCGCCAACGCTGTTCGTGGAAACACATTGAGCCTGAGTATGGATCCTTTTGGCTGTCACGTAATTCAAAAAGCGTTTGACTGTGTGCCGGAGGAGCACAAGGCAGTCATGGTTCATGAGCTACTACGTCGTATTCCGGAAACGGTCATTCATCGCTATGCTTGTCATGTCTGGCAGAAACTCTTCGAACTTCGTTGGAGCAACGAACCCCCTCAGATTATGACCAAGGTCAACGAAGCACTCCGTGGAATGTGGCACGAGGTTGCTCTCGGTGAGACCGGAAGCTTGGTCGTGCAGAATATCTTTGAAAACTGTGTGGAGGATGAAAAGGTGCAGTTCTTCCCTTTCCATTGGATTTTGTTAAAAATTGCTTTTTACATACTTTTTTTTTACTAACAAGCACCACAGCGTCAAGCGATTGAGGAAGTTCTTGCCAAAATTGATCTTCTCTCTCATGGTCAGTTTGGTAACTGGTGCATTCAGCACATTTGCGAACACGGTGCACCTCATGATAAAAGCCGTGCCATCGAGCATATCCTCCTTTGGGCCACTGACTACAGCATGGACCAGTTCGCCTCCAAGGTTGTCGAAAAATGTTTGAAGATTGGTGGCTCTGAATTTCTGGACCGTTACCTTACTCGCGTTTGTACCGGTCGTCCTGACCGCCCTCGTATGCCCCTTATCGACAGTAAGTTTTGATGGTACTTTTATGGTTGATTGATATGGAAAACTAATATTTTGCTTAGTTGCTGGAGATCAGTATGGCAATTACTTGATCCAGTGGATCCTTATGAATTCTGCTGCTCATCAGCGAGAAATTGTTGCTACCCATATCCGGTCCGTTCAATTTCCGTCTTTTTTTTTTTTTTTTTTTGTAAACTTGTCTAACTTCTTCTACACAGCAAACATATGGTTTCCTTGCGCGGTTCCAAGTTCGGCTCTCGCGTTGCAATGCTCTGCTGCAACCCCAGCCATGTTACTCGTCCAGGCCCAGGAGCAGGAGTCCAGGTTAACCGCTTCTCGAACCCCGGAGGAGAGGATCGCTTTTCTGGAAGCCAATCATCCGGACGGTTCAACCGCGGTGGCCAGTGGAGCGCCAACTACCCGCCATTTCGTTGACCATATCTAGACTATCATCACTAAAAGCCTTTGGTTTCCATGACATTACATCCAACATTTGATGCCCCGAACCCCGGGATGCTGGAGCAAGATCACATATCGGAATGCACATTTACAATTATCTTCATCACTCTAGGATTCTCGGATGCGTGGATTTTTCTGCTTGGTTCGAGCTTTTTTTAAAAAAGAAATCCTATCATCTGCTCTTGGCTTGTTGGAGCTGCTACTTACAACCAACAACCATTCTGATTCAAATTTCTCTTAGATCCTTCTTCCTTTCCTTTACGTTTTTTCCCCGGTTTTCTAAAACCCCAGAGCTACACCCATTTCATTCTTTTAATTTGTCATATTTTTTCAAAAATGATTTTATCCTAAGATAACTAATAGGCGTGGGTTTCCCCAGTGCTTTGGTTTAACAGAAAAAAGCAGGTTCGAGTTCACCTTTTCTCAGCTACCTACATGGGAAAGGTTTATTTGTTTGAATTTCGCTATCAGGTACAGCTTAGCTTTATATTATCCCTCCATGGCGCAGGTCTTCTTTGTGCTATTAATTGCCGCCAATATGTTTTGATTCTCGGGCTGGATGGACATTTGCAATTTTGAGACTGGAGGCAACCGCAAAGCTTGTCTAACGAAGGGCTGGCCGTTGGCATATAAAAAAAAAAAAAACCCTATTCTTTTTAATCACGGGATTAACAGTGTATTTTAACCACGATTCGGACAAGAATAGTTATCGTTTAATAACATAATTGCGGGGACAACATGATAATAAAATGACTGTGGTATCTAATATAATACGTGGTGTAGTTATGTATATCTATATATATATGAGTGTGTTTGTATCTGAGGGTGTTTGTATGTAAGTGGGTTCAATGTCTTGTTTATTAATTCCTACCCAGCTTTCGCCTCTTCATAGCTTTTACCATCTACTGAACCGCCATAACAGCGGAATCTCCCTCTCCACCCCCACAATTGTCAATCATCATTGAAGCTGCTGCTGCTGCTCTTCCACCTCGCCACCTTTATCCTCCTTCTCCTTCTCCTTCTCCTTACCCACTCCCGCACCATCCCCACCACCCTCAATACTAGTACTTCCACCATCAGCACCATCATCGGGGGCATCGGAGGCATTAGCAGCGGTAGCAACCTCCCACGGCTTCCGCCGCCGCGCAGCAACGCTCGGTTTATCTTTACCCGTCAGAACCGTGTCTGGGATCTCCTGGATGCCGGGGATTGGCTGGTTGGTTGTGATTAGGTTTACGATGTGTGCGAAGGGGGTTGGGTAGGTTGGTTCCCTGTGGGGCTGCGGGGGGGTGGCTGTTGTGGTTGTGGTTGAAGAAGGGGGTGGGGGAGGAGCGGAAGATGGAGGGAGAGATTGAGGCGGGAGTGAGGAGGAGGATGGGGGGTTCGGGTTGGGGTTGTTTTTTAGTTGTTGGAGGTAGGTTATGTAGCCCTTTGGTGTTAGGGGGGTTGTGGTTGTTGAGGGGAATTTCCTGGGGGTTTGGGGTGGGTTGTTAGCTTCTATATATGTATATATATATATGTATACATATATACAATAACTCACTTCGCAAAATAAAACATCTTCGCCTTCAGCAGTAACTCGCCGCCGAGCGCTGCGTACTCATCCCCATCCCCATCCCCGCCATCGCCATCGCCATCACCCGTACGAGTCCCCGTCACCTCATCCTCCGTCGCGGGCGTCCCCGCCGGTTTTCCCAGAATCACGCCGAGACCTAGTTTGAACTCCGCGTCTGTGGCGAACGGGTATGTGTGGAAGGCTTGATAGGGGGATGGGGATGCTGATGTGGTTTTGGTTGTGGTTGTAGAGGAGGGCGGGGGGGCCGTTGTGGTGGGGATGTTTTGTTCGGGAGATGGTAGTGGAGGTGATGTTGTTGTTATAGCGGGCCCGGAGGAGGAGGAGGAGGAGGAGGGTAGAGCAGCAGCAGCAGCAGGGGTAGGAGGAGGATCCTGGTTGGGAGGTGTTGTGGTGGACATTGCGGTGTCTGTGTCTGTGTCTGTGTCGCTGTCGCTGTCGCTGTCGCTGTCGCTGTCGCTGTCGGTATAGGGTGCGGAGGAGGCGTGCGGGAGCGGGGGATCGGGATAGGGGGGATTGCAAGTATTAGTATTATTATTATTATTATTATTATTATTATATGCCTTCTCTTATTTTTTCTCTCTTTGTTCTATTTCTTCTCCTTTTTCCACAGCAGGTTGAAGAAATCGGATAGTTAATTGAGGTGGTGATGAATGAATGGAATATGGAATTGATGGAATTGATACCGAGCCGATGGAAGAATGCGGGGAGCCAATACCGACTAACCGCCTTTTTATTCTGCCGCTGTTTTCTTTGACCCCTTTCCCCTTTTTTCTCGGAATGATATTGATTGATGAATGGTTGGTTGTGTTTTATTTCCAGTGAAACTGTCGTATTTCAACAATGAGATTTCATTTCTTTTCATTTCTGTATCTATTCCTCATCACTTATTGTTTTGCAAAAAAAAAATCTAAGCTCGTCCAGATCTCTACATTCCCGTTAACACCCACCCCCCCCCGGCTTCCTCTTTTTTCTAGAAGAAAAATGCTTGCTAAACCACTGTATCTGGAAATCCCTTCCAAGCTATATCATAGCAGTAAAAACTAAATGTAAATGAATAACGCCAGAACCATGCATGTATGTTGCATTGCGCCATGAGTACCTGGTACAGATAAAAATAAAAAAAAGGAAATTTAAAAACAGGAAAGGAGAATGGTAGGCGAAATGGCGGGTAAGGAAAATGGTAGGGAAATGACGGGAAATAAGAAACGCAACCGCCCCCTTATTGGTTTTCCCAGTTCCGTTCCATTTCAGCTCAAATGCCACCTCTACCCCGTATCCATCTCATCAGCCACACCATTCTCATTCCCGTTCCCATTCAACTGCTGCTGCTGCTGCTGCAGTTGCTGCACAACCCCACTCTGACACCCGGGACAATTATGCACAACCTCATGCGCAAACACATCGCAATCAATGCAAAAATGACACTCGCAAACGGGACACTCATAGCGCCCACTAACGCTAATCCCAGATGGCCCCTTGACCGTCTCCCCTTCCCCTTCCCCCTGCTCCTCTCCGGCCCCCTCTTGCTCCCCCCCGGAAAACTGCTTAGGCACCCGCGGAAACCCAACCGCACACGCAAAACAGCTGGCACTCCTTTTCCTCGCAGCGCGGCGCCAGGACACCTCGACCCAATTCATCAGCGGGAAGAGGTGATGGTAGGAGCGGGCGAGGTGGGTGGAGAGGATCAGGGTGAGGCCGCAGCAGGGGCAGGAGGTGGGGAGGGTGCAGACTTTTGCGCCGCAGCGGGAGCAGAGGTAGCCGGTGCGCGAGGGTTTGGAGTGGCAGGCGCATAGAGTTGGGGTGGTGGTTGGGCTGAGGGTTCGGGAGGGGAAGCCCATCATCAGGAGGGAGCTTGTTGTTGTTTGTGACGTTTTTGTTTCTTCTTTTGTTGTTGTTGGTGTGGGAGCGACGGTTGTGGCGGGTGGGGTTGTGACGTTCATGAATAGTTCGCGGAAATGCTGCTCATTGAGGGCGACGCCGTAGCCGCTGTCGTCGCCGTTGTTTGTGCGGGCGCAGATGTCGCGGCAGATAGCGACTTGGGCGGCGAGGCCGATGATGGAGACGCGGATTTTGTCGGCGACCAGGGTGTTTATGGTTTTGTGGATGTCACCTGGGTCGGAGGAGAGGAGGGCGCCGAAGATTATGAACACTTCGCGGGTGCCGTGTGTTGGTGTACGGCTCAACGGATAGAGAAGTATTAGCATTGGTTTCTTGTGCATCATTGGTGCTTTAAACGGAAGAAGAAACAAAAAAAAGGGAAAAAATCATACAAAAGCGCACCACGGGCCATCTCTAAGGTATTCTGCAGAGATGGCATGCCCTTGGGGTCCTTTGGGCGGAGGGACTGGATAGCTAGGATATGATCTGTGGGGTTCCCGCTCATATCGCTGATGCGCACGGCCAGACCGTCGCGCATGCCTAGCACGCCGAGCTGGGAGATGGGGTTCTGTTCGAAGAACTCGAGGACAAACTCCTGGGCGTAGCGGAGGGTTAGGAGATAGCGGGTTGGGCGGAGGTCCTTTTCGGCCATGGCAGAGGAGAGGTCGAGGACGAGGATGAGATGTCTAATGATGCCGCGTTGGAGGGGGGTGGTATCGCGGAGTAGTCTATCATCCGGGGAGAGGAATTTAGTAGTCCATATGGTGAGAATAGATATATCATGAAGTGTATGTTGATATATACCTCTTCCTCTTCCCGGCCTCCAGCAGACCCTCTACTGTCGCGCTGATGGTGCCATCCGCGCTTTCAACGAGCGACTCCCAGGTCCTGGACACCTCCCACTCGGCGCCTCCACGGCCCTTTTTCTTCTTCTTAGCATCTCGCGACGATTGCGCTGCTGCTGTTGCAGCTGCTGAGCTTCCTGCGGCCGCTCGACGGCGCCGGGGCCCGGAGGCGGAGGAGGCAGCGGGACCGGAGTCTATGTCATCGTCAACATCGTCGTCGTCTTCTAAGATCTCGTCCAGATCGTGATCTGAGGCGTGGGCGATGTATTCATCGTCTGAATCGGACATGCTCGTGAGGGTATAGATATAGAGTAAGTGGTGGTTACTCTGTGGAGTGAGTAGTATGGATGGTTGGAATAATAATAAATAGGTGAGGGAGGAGTGGAGGAGAAAGAAGAGCTCCCGAGCTTGCAACTAGTTAACTTATTTCCCGCCCACGAATGGAAGCCAACAACAACAACGATCAACAGCCAATTAACTATTCATTTTATTCTTTATTTCCCCAGTTCCAACTAAACTAACTAGTTAACGGTTAGTTTAGTTGTTTTAGTTTAGTTAATTTGGTTTTTTAGTTGATTGGCTAGAACTAAACTAAAATTCCAAGCTATTTAAGTAAGATCCGGTGATAAAGGGAGAGAGAACAACAAGTCAGTTCTTTCAGAAGGAAAATATCCATCCAAGGTCGAGCAGTCACTCATTATTCAATTATTGGCATTGTGTAGCCAGTTCCATATGCATAGCTCTTCCACATACACACAGAGAACTAGCCGATAAATATAAGCGTATATAGAGATGTTTGCCCTCAGCTCACGGGCAAGCAGAAGCATACCTAGGTACGCAGTAAGCAGCAGCAGCAGCAGCAGCAGCAGCAGCAGCAGCAGCAGAAGCAGAAGCAGAAACAGCGGCCACATCGCCAACAGGCCCATGCCGGCTATTCGAGGCTTGATGCGTGCCGGCAATAGCAGCAGGTACATGTACAGCAGCACCAGTAGCGGTTATAGGAGCCCTTGTACCGGTACATCCACCAAGGCTACTTCTGCTACTACTGCGGCGGTATTTTCCCCACGTCATGGTTCCTCCGCCTGCCGTCTGCTGCCCCGCTCCCCGCTCTCCTCCCCCTCCCCTGCCCCGCCATCTGCTGCTACTACCACTACTACTACTACAACAACAACTACAAGAAGAAGATCATTCTCTTCTCCTTCTTCATCATCCTCTTCCTCCTCTCCTCTGCTGACAACCCGCCGTATCCCCCCATCTGTTGCTTCTTGCTGTCTACCGTCGTCACTGTTCCGCAGAATTCCGCAACATGAACCCCAGCGATAGAGAAACACTGCCCGATGTGTATGTCCATTGATCGATTGATCGATTGATCGATTGTCTCTTGTCTATGTTATTATCCCCCATTACTAACTCAATATTCCAGGGCAAAACCAACCCACTACGACCTGTCCCTCTTCAACCTCAAGCTCGGTTCCTCCTGGGCCTACAATGGCAAGGTCAAGATAGACACCCAGGTCTACCGCCCAACCAACGAGCTCGTGCTCAATGTCAAAGAGCTCACCGTTGACGATGCTGAGATATCTTCTTCCGCCGGTATGTCTTCCATCCAGCCCCCTAGATACTCTCGATACTCCCTTGTTCCATTGATTTACTATTCTTAATCCCGTATTGACTTTGCATTACAGGAAATCCCCTCAAGGCATCCGATATCTCATACGACAAGGTCTCCGAGCGTGTCATTCTCAAATTCCCTTCAGAAATCCAACCTGGCCCTTGCCTTCTCACTGTCGATTTCACTGGCACCATCAATAACCATATGGCCGGCTTCTACCGGTCCAAGTACAAGCCTATCGGGACTCCCAATTCCGGCACCCCCAAGGATGCAGACCACCACTACATGTTGAGCACCCAATTCGAAGCCTGCGATGCGAGACAGGCTTTCCCTTGTTTTGACGAGCCAAATTTGAAGGCTACCTTTGACTTTGAGATCGAGACTCCCAAGGATCTGGTCACCTTGAGCAATATGCCTGTGAAATCAACCCGCGATGGTTCCTCCCCGAACTTGCACTTCGTCAAGTTCGACCGCACCCCGATTATGAGCACCTATGTTAGTTCAATATAAAAATCCATATTGTGATCCATCGTCACAGTTCTGCTAATTACTTATCTACCGTTGATCTATAGCTGCTCGCATGGGCTGTGGGTGACTTTGAATACGTCGAGGCGAAGACGGAACGCAAATACAACGGTGCCAGCATCCCCGTTCGTGTATATACCACTAGAGGTCTGAAGGAGCAGGCTCGATTTGCCGCTGACTACGCCCACCGCACCATTGACTATTTCTCCGAAATCTTCGATATCGATTATCCACTGCCCAAGGCCGACTTACTTGCCGTCCATGAGTTCGTGAGTCTCCGCAATTTTCTTTGGATTTTTCTTTTTCTTTTTTTTCTTTTCTTCTTTTTTTTTTCTTTTTTCTTTTTTTCTTTCTTTTTTTTTTTAAAAAAAAAAAAAAAAAATGCTTATGTATAGAATTCTCGTATAGGCCATGGGAGCTATGGAGAACTGGGGTCTTGTGACATACAGAACTACCGCTGTGCTCTTCGAAGAGGGCAAATCGGATAATAAATATAGGAACCGTGTCGCTTATGTTATTGCCCACGGTATGAATAGAACACTCATCCTGTTGGCATTTATTTTGTTGAACTAACCCATTGTCTAGAACTCGCTCATCAATGGTTCGGAAACCTTGTCACCATGGACTGGTGGAACGAGCTCTGGCTGAATGAAGGCTTCGCTACATGGGTTGGCTGGCTGGCTATTGATCACTTCCATCCCGGTAGGCAAATATAACCCTCTTTCCCCTTTTTAAAAATGGGTACATACTAACAAATTGGTTAGAACGGAATATTTGGTCCCAGTTTGTGGTACGGAATGCCAGAGGTACCTTGTAATATGTGACTTCCAGTTTGTTTGTTAACGACTTCATAGGCTGAGGGACTCCAATCAGCGTTCCAACTCGACTCGCTCCGGGCATCGCATCCAATTGAAGTCCCCGTGAAGAACGCTCTTGAAGTCGACCAGATATTCGACCATATCAGTTACCTCAAGGGTAGCTCCGTCATTCGAATGTTGAGCAGTCACCTCGGGCAAGAGACTTTCTTGCGCGGAGTGTCTGACTATTTGAAAGCTCATGCATATGGTATTACCCATCTGTTATACTCCCGATTGAGTGGGATCATGGTAGCTAACATTCAAATCCACCAGGAAACGCCACCACCAACGACCTTTGGTCAGCCCTAAGCAAGGCTTCTAACCAGGACGTGACCGCATTTATGGTTTGTAGCCCTACTTTCCTGTCGTATCTGAAGTTGTTTTGGCTAATATGTACATAACAAATAGGACCCATGGATTCGCAAGATCGGCTTCCCCTTAGTCTCTATTAAAGAAGAGACTAACCAGCTCAGTGTCTCTCAGAAACGTTTCCTTGCATCTGGAGATGTGAAACCCGAGGAAGATGAGACCATCTGGTGGATTCCTCTGGGCATCAAGTCTGGGGCGACTATTCAAGAGCATAAGGGTCTCACGACAAAGTCTGATGTTATTCAAGGCATCGACAGCAGCTTCTACAAGATCAACAAGGATCAATGCGGCTTCTACCGAACAAACTACCCTGCTGACAGACTTGCGAAGTTAGGTAAATCGCAGTATCGCTTGAGCACGGAAGATAAAATCGGTCTGATTGGAGACGCTGCGGCATTGGCCATATCTGGCGAGGGAAATACCCCTGCCCTCCTGGCACTTATTGAGGGTTTCCAGAATGAGCCGAATTACCTGTAAGATTATTCAAATTCCAGCATCAAAAACTCTGTGTCTACTACAGCCCTAACCTTTTGCTTTTTGTTGTTGGTAGTGTCTGGTCTCAAATCGCCTCGTCTCTAGGCAACCTGCGCTCAGTGTTCTCGACAAATGAAGCTGCTGCTGCGGGCTTGAAGAACTACGTGAGGGAACTCGTTACACCTGCTGTGGAAAAGATTGGATGGGAATTCAAACCCGAAGACGACTACCTCACCATCCAGCTCCGGCATTTGCTCATTTCGATGGCAGGTAATTCCGGTCATGAAGGGTGAGTACATTTTACGTGGACCCTATAATCTACATTTTTTTTTTCAATTTACTAAATCGGCCATTAGGACCCTTGCCGAAGCCAGAAGACGCTTTGACCTGTGGGCATCCGGAGAGGATAAGGCAGCCATCCACCCTTCGCTCCGGTCCGCCGTGTTCGGCATGACCGTCGCGGAAGGCGGCCAAAAGGAGTACGACCAGGTGATGGAGGAGTACCTCCGCACCGACTCCATTGACGGCAAGGAAATCTGCCTCCTTTCCCTCGGCCGCACGAGGAACCCAGATCTGATCAAGAGCTACGGCAACTTCATCTTCTCGCCCAACGTGGCCATCCAAGACCTGCACACGGGTGCCAGTGCCCTGGCAGCCAACTCCAAAGCGCGCCTTACCTTCTGGAACTTCGTCAAGGAGAACTGGACGATGATCGAGGGGCGGCTGACGAATAACAAGGTCGTGTTTGATCGGTTCTTGCGGATGGGGCTGTCGAAGTTTGCGGAGCATGCGGTGGAGATGGATATTGCGAAGTTCTTTGCAGATAAGGATCAGAGCGGGATTGACCGGGGCCTAGTTATTATTGCGGATACGGTGAGGACGAATGCGAATTATAAGGAGAGGGAGGAGGGGGTTGTTGTGGAGTGGTTGAAGGCGAATGGGTATGCGTAGAGTAACTTCTCAACTTAAGAGTATTTTTTTCTTACAGGGGTAGGAATCAGGTACTATATTGTTGTCATCGTTTGTATGATCATGGGTTTGTTATAGGAATAGGAATGGGAATAGTCATATTGATGGTCAGGTGAAAGGATCAATGATGGCCACGAGAAGAGTCAGTCCTTGGAGACAGATGACATTTGCTGGATATAACTGAAACTGCAATATTTTACTCTATATTCTGAGACGGTAAGGTACAGATGAACTCCGACATAGGGAAATGAGCTTTTCCCATCGCTGTATATCCTATCCACCATCTTTATACTGTACATAGTGACTTCAGCAGCCCATCCTGGATCTCATCCATTCAGCTGGACTCCATGTCACGTGTTAGCAGACAAATCACATGAGCATCCGCGCTAAACTTGAAATGGCGCATGGAAACTTCCACGAGGCCCGGCTGCAAGAGGAGGTAGTGCTAGGAGGGGAGAGAGGGAGGGAGAGAGAGAGAGAGACAAATACTCCGTACTCGCCTTGGAGTATAATAGAAGGGGGAGAGAGGAGGGTGTAATTTGTTAATTATTTATATTTGAGCTTGGTAAGGCGTGGGTGGGTGGTTTATGGGAGGCATAGAATCGAATCAACTAGTAGCGGAGAGAGGGTGACGCACAACATACATACCATACGCTATATATATATCGCCTCAACACACAGGTAGTTTAATAGAAATTGTCGCATGGTTATCTGCCACGGGGTATAAATTATTTTCTTGCCTGAATGATACCAAGTCTACCTTACCTTCGTCCTGCTGTTAAATAACTAATAATAAAGCTGCAGAGGTAGTAAGTTTCATATCATAAGTGGTGAGTTTTCCTCCTAGCGGACAGACAGAGAGCAGCCAACCAACCAACCAACCAGCCAAACCCCCAGCCCAGCAGCCCAAGAACAACGTCGAAACATCGACAACCACCACCACAACCACCGTTGCTTAAACATCACAACCTATTTATTTACCTTACTTACCACCACTAACAACAACAACATCTACAAATCTATTTGAAAAATTCCCCCTTCCCTCTTCTCTTCATCCACATCGAAAACCCTCCACGCCGGCAAAACAAATTCCTACGTTACATATCCATCCATCTATCTCTGCTTCCTTCCGTCCCCGTCTCCTCTCTCTCTCTCCCTTGATCGTCTATCCCATTCCCACTCCCATTCCCATCATCAGCCAACAAGCCAGCCATCATGAATCCTGAGTGGTAAGTTTCTTTTTCTTTCCCCCCTTCCTTGCTCTCGACTTTTCTCTCCCCCCGTCTCCCTCGTCCCTTCGCCGTCCGTTCGTCAGCTTTTGCTTGCCCTGCTTGGCTGCAGGTTACATACAGGGCTGCGTCGGACTGGGCATTCCGATGTTGATGTCGTGGCGATGGCTCGCGGATCTAGACATGGACATGGATATGGATATGGATATGGATAAACCAGGACGAGTATCGGTGTCAACGCCTGCTGCTGCTGTTGGATGTTTTATTTATCCTGCTGCAGTTCAGCTCAGCTCAAGCTCAGCTCAGCTCAGGTCCCAGCCAACCAACCAAACTGTGTCCATGTCCATCCGCCCAGCTGCGGTCTAGTGATACTTGGAGAAAGAAAGAAAGAAAGACAGAGAGGAAAATAAAAAGAGAGGAAGAACGGAACGGAGGAACAACGTTGTCTTTTCTTTTTCTTATTCTTTTACATTTCTTGCTAACTTTAGATGTGCGTGCGGTGCAGAGTTATCCCCTTCTTTTTCCTCAAATCATCAGCTTCCGTCCCCTTTTTTCGCTCCCTTATGTCCGCTGCCTCTCTATTATCTCTGTTTCGTCGAGAGCTCCCCCCCGTCCCTCCCCGACTATATAGTGATATAGGCTCTGGTTGTGACCTGGTCTTCCTCCTTCCTCTGCTCTGCAATGGCCCCCCGTCGATATGCTGCAACCAGTCCTGTCCAGTCCGATGCAGCCCGGGTCAAGGTAGGGCAGGGGTAGGGTAAGGCTGGGTAGAGGTACCCGATCCATCGATGGACTTGTCGTGTTTCAAGGCCTTTTGAACTTTGCGCTACGGGATGATGGGCGATGGGACCAGAGAACCTATATACACACAAATTTTAACAAAAAACCCCACCGAGAAATCAAAATACATTACTAAAACAGATGCAAACCACAATAGATACGACTACCTCTTCAAGCTGCTCCTCATCGGCGACTCCGGTGTGGGCAAATCGTGTCTGCTCCTGCGGTTTGCCGATGATACGTATACCGAGAGTTATATTTCGACCATTGGTGTGGATTTTGTGAGTACTTTTCATCGTGCTTTTTTTTTTTTTTGATATATCTTGGGATCCGGGTGATTTGGCGAGTTGGCTATATATGATCATAAGGACCTGCAATGGTCTGCTCTCGGATAAGAAAAATCAGGATGAAATGATTTTGGAGTTTTTGGCGACGTCATACAAAGTACTGAATGCTGATCTTGTTGTCTATTTTTTTCTCTCCTCAGAAAATCCGAACTATCGAGCTGGATGGCAAGACCGTCAAACTTCAAATCGTATGCATTACCAATTCCCCTTGTCCCTTTTCCTCTCCCTCCCCTCCTCATGATCCAACATTTGACTAAACCCTATCTCTTTTCCGCTTTGTCGCTCTGCAGTGGGATACAGCCGGTCAGGAACGTTTCCGGACCATCACATCTTCCTACTACCGCGGCGCACATGGTATCTGCGTAGTCTACGACGTGACAGACATGGACTCCTTCAACAACGTCAAACAATGGCTACAGGAGATTGACCGCTACGCGACCGAGGGCGTGAATAAGTTGCTTGTGGGCAATAAGAGTGATATGGAGGATAAGAAGGCGGTTGAGTATACTGTTGCTAAGGTGGGTTCCCTCCCTCGGGGGCTTCTCCAGATATTAGCTAGGTATTCATTCCATGTACATATTTTGCTAACGTCGTTTTACTTCCCGCTTCAAAAACGAATAGGAATTCGCCGATAGCCTTGGAATCCCCTTCCTCGAGACATCTGCCAAGAGCGCATCGAATGTCGAGCAAGCTTTCTTGACCATGGCTAGACAGATCAAAGAGCGGATGGGCACGGCGACTGTCAATAACAAGCCTACTGTGCAGGTTGGACAGGGACAGGGCGTGCAGTCCGGGTCTGCGGGTGGATGCTGTTAAAAAAGAGATATGTCCTAGCTGGTGTTGGTATTGGTGTTGGGTAGTCGGTGTTGTGTGCAGGCGGGTGACGGTGTCCACTGCGTGATATCGGTAATGCGGTGATGGGATATATACGGGATGAAATGATTGTGATATGCTGTCCTATGCTATGCTCTGCTACGTCTTTTTTTTTTTTTTTTTTTTTTTTTTTTTTTTTTTTTTTTTTTTTTTTTTTTTTTTTTTTTTTTTTTCTTGCCTTGCCTTGCATTGTCATTTCATATCACATATCATTCCCCCATGGCGTGAGATGGGAACAGGAACTGGACCTGTACCTGGATCCGGAAGCCTTCTGGTCCATGGAGGAAAGAAGAAAGAACTAAAAGCAAAAACGGCACCTTTTCGCTGGTCTTGTTGCCAACATATAAACTCAGGGATTCGAGGAGGTTTGGCTTTTGTCGTTTGTTTTTTAAATGGGATTAGGGGAGCTTTTGATCATAGGGTCAACGGGGCAAGCTGGCTTTTTTTCTTTCTTTCTCTCTTGGTCTTCCTTCCCTCTGTTGGCTTATTTCTCCGCCCAGGGTTCCTCGATGTCGAACATGTCCACACCGAACCACCATCACCTGCCCTCCGCCCGCTTTCCCTGTGCCCATTTTACTTCCTGCCTTCGCCTCTTCATGAGATAAACGATGCACGCCATCCATGCCCACAATCACATCCCTTGCATTGGCCCAACAACTTGGCTTTTTTTCTCTTTCTGTTCCGTGTTGCAAGGATTGGAGGCCCCGAATGCTCCATCGTCTGCCTATCTCTACTTGAATTTCACTTACCCCTGCTCTCGTTCTTGCTTTGTGTCTTTGTCTATTTTATTGCTCTACTTTTTAGTTTTTCATGTTATCCAACTGAAATCTCCTTTTTTTTTTTTGCCAAATCCTGTTTGTTGCGCCTCTTCTTGTTCTTGTCGCTGTTACTACTTAGTTGGTATTTTTCTTCTTTTTTTCCTAGCTCCTTTTCACCCGTGGAATTTCCTCTTCCTCTTCCCCATCCCCCTCACCCCCCCCCCCCCCTTCCCTTTATTTATTTTTCAAAGGCTACGTTATGATATATTTACTATTGATGTTCATTAGAATGTTTATTTTATTTTCACCTTATTTGATATTATGCTGCTTTCTTCTTTGCCATTGTAACCTTCTTCAGCCGGGCATCAAATGTGTCTAAAGCTAAACGTTGTGATTGTGTGAATTTTTTTTCTTCTTTTCCACTCTTTTGATTTGGCTGGAGTGTGTGTGTTTTGGCATCTTCATCGCCCGCGTTTGAAGAGAGAGATTGTGCCGATATAATCTTCAAGTAATCTCTCCTTCTACATTACCTCTCCTGTCCTGTCTGTCACCTTATTCACCCGTGGACAGGAAAAGACGACTCCTCCTACATTTAGTAATTTTTAATGGTTCATCTTGATATTTATGAGCTAGAGGCGGGCGGGTAGTGGGTAGTGGGTAGTGGGTAGTGGAGTGGTTCTGTTTTCAATTCTCCTCTCTCCTTTTTTTATTAGTTTGATCAATCAACATAAGAGAAAATGAAAGATTTACCACATGATATTCAGTATCTCTGAGCTTTGTAATTTCTTTCTGTTCATTTGAAAATGTCCTTGTGAATCTTCTTGTTGTTCACTTATTTTTGCGATCACATGCGATTGTTATCAAACTTTCTACCACGTCATAAAATAACATTCGCTCTGGCTTTTCTTCCCATATCATTCATACGGAGTAACTTACATAGTTACCCTTGCTCTCCGTTTTATTTTCATATCTGGCGATTTTTACGAGAAGAGCGACTTCCGAATTCTTGACCGTTGAAATAAATTTAACCTGAATGGATATTTCCTCTGTGTATATAAAGTAACTCCGTAAATTATCAGTGGCTAGAAGTTCTGATGATTCCCAGCCGAGGCACAGTTTTTCCGCTGCCCGGCAAACCGTCGTCATTCTGCGGTTAACTTATATAACAGATCTCACAGTTAGTTAACTATATGGGGCCATTCATTCTCGTCCCTTGGAATTATAAGGAATTATAAGTAAGGGAGTAATTAAAGAAGAAAAATATCGGATTGGTAAAAAAGAAAAAGTGCACTAACCATTTAAATATCTATCCACATGCTCGCATTCTATTCTCTTCTTGTACTATTTAACTACTTCTTCCACTCTTTAATTTCCTCGCCTTATCCCCCCCCTTGCCAACGACGGCGAGACCTCAGCATATATATAATTCGCCCACAAATCTAAACTCCCCCTGAAATTATAATATACGTGGAAAGCCTGCAAACATGTCCCAGCCGGTACCCAGAGAGCAGCAAAAGGCAGTTGTTGCCGCCGCCGCGCAACAGAGTGATAACATCGCCCATGCCCTCGCAGGCGCCGGAGGTGGCATCCTCTCCATGATCTTAACGTGAGTGCTCTCCTATATATCCATGTACCAACTTAAACCGAAAAAAGAAATATCTACTTACACAAGATAACACCCCCCCCCGAATTACAGCTACCCTCTAATTACACTCTCCACCCGCGCCCAAGTAGAATCCAAGCGCGCCCAATCCTCCGCCCTCGATGCCATCCGCCACATAATCGCCCGCGAGGGCATCCGCGGCCTCTACGCTGGCCTTGAATCCGCCCTCTTCGGCATCTCCGTCACCAACTTCGTCTACTACTACTGGTACGAGTGGACCCGCTCCGCCTTCGAGAAAGCCGCCGTCAAAGCCGGCCGGGCGTCCAAGAAACTCACCACGGCCGAGTCCATGATCGCCGGCGCCATCGCGGGCAGCGCGACCGTGCTGCTCACCAACCCGATCTGGGTGGTGAACACGCGGATGACGGCGCGCAAGTCCTCGGAGGACAAGGACGGGCTCCCCGGCGGCGGTGCTACGGCGGGCGAGGCGAAGCCCAAGTCCAAGTCGACGCTGGCGACGCTGATGGAGCTGCTGCGCAAGGAAGGGCCGGCGGCGCTCTTCGCTGGCGTCCTGCCCGCGCTGATCCTGGTCATCAACCCGATTCTGCAATATACGTTCTTCGAGCAGTTGAAGAATGCGCTTGAGCGGCGCCGCCGCATCACGCCTACCGACGCCTTCTATCTAGGGGCCCTGGGCAAGTTGCTGGCGACCACCATTACGTACCCGTACATCACGGTCAAGAGCCGGATGCATGTTGCCGTGAAGGAGGAGAAGTCGGGCCAGAAGGCGAGCTTGAATGAGAGTATGATGCGCATTGTACGGGAGGAGGGCTGGGGTGGGCTGTATAGGGGTATGTGGATTTTATATATCTCTTCAATTTTGGTTCAAACTTTTTTTTTTTTCCTTTTTGGAAAAATTGCTCTGGTAACTGAACTGACATCTTCTCAGGCATTGGACCCAAGGTCAGCCAGAGCGTGCTCACCGCCGCGTTCCTGTTTGCATTTAAGGATGTTCTGTACGATAGTATGGTCTCCCTCCGCCGACGGAGCTTGCGCAAATGATTCAGGTAACAGATATTGGATCTCCAGGACGGGAAAATCCGTATCACTTCAGAAAGCAATGAGGCATACTTGCTTTAAGGTAACTAACTGACTAGGCATATATGCCAGTGATGGTCGCTGGCTTTTTATTTTTGTTCCGTGCATGCACTATAAAACAGCATAATCTTCTTACATTTCCCATTCCCACCTGCTTCTACATGTATTTATATGTGGGATATAAAATCGATCTACACAATTTGGATTGCAGTCGAAATTATCTATGAGAAGTTTGAGTTGGATATTTATCTCATTTGTCCTTTTTCTTTTTTTACTATTAATCTTTCTTTTCTCTTTCATGTATATAACTAGGCGTGTTCAATGAGGTTGTTATAAAATGAGATCATTTCAGTTTTCTAGACAGAATGATGTGAGGAAGATTGAATATATATATACATATATTTGTCACTAAATATGCCAACTTAACTACTATTTCTTCATCAGTTGGGCGGACGTGCCCCCTCTGAAAATTAGTAGCAAATAGACTAACCGTGTGACCGTGTCTGAGACCAGGACCAGAATATTTGATAGTCTCATTACCAATTTGATTGATCCCATTACACAGTATTAAGATCAGATAGTAGTCTCATACTGTCTCAGTGAGACTTACTATCTACTCTTGTCACATTTTCAATAAGATCATGATTTTCACTTCTCAATTTAAATTCATTTTATTACTTTAAATGACTTTAAATCTTATTTAAGTGTTATCAAATATTGTTACTTTTTAAAAAATTAAAAATAGTTTAAAAAAACTGTAAAATCTCTAAAAAATAGTAACTTTATATTAAGAATAAGACTAAATGAGATTAAATAAGATCACTTTCTTAATTTTTCTAAGTTATAGTTCTATTTTAAGATCTGATTAATAGTTACTTTACATGTTTTTTTAATAATTAGTCTTAGTGAGATTCATATTAAGAAATATATAAGATGAGATTAAATGAGATTAAATATGAAATTTATAATTTCATTAGCCAGTTTAGATATAATGTTAAATCTTAGATTAAATTAATATCTTAATCTTTTTCTTTTATAAATTACTACTCTTAATTTTATCTCAGATTTTTCAGGAAAAAAGCAGTAATAACTTGAATGAGAGATAATGTACTTCTGCTCAGTATTAAAATTTAATTCTTAAATAAGTATAAAATTAACTTTTTATTTATATGTAATTTAAAGATAAGAATAAATACAATTTGAATTTTTATTCATACTGTTTTAAATAAATATAATTTTTAAAGAGTTTTTAAACTTTTTTTATTATTTTTATTGTATATTTATACTAAAAGAAGATAGAGATTAAATAAAATTCAATCACTATTATCAGATAGTAGATTATAACTATTTTTAAAGATAGAAACTTTAACTACTTTCATTCTTTCTAATTTATCAGTGAAATTATTTCTCAATTCTCTTGTCAAGCTCCCGGCCGCGTCAAGGCCCCGTTGCGGTTTCACACAGCTTATCACTTTCATGCAGATAATTTCATTTCATCTGAACCAGTTTTCAACCACTCTATAACATCATTCAGATATATTATAGAAAGATTCAATTAATAAATATAAGAATCTCACTTCTATATAAGATCAGCAGATTACTTTTTCTTGATAATAAGACACTGCTGAGATATCACTCTGACTATTCTCACTCATGAAATGAGAGAAGATATTCACTTATTATCTATATAGAATAGCTAGATACTGACTCTTTATAAAAGAAGTCAGTGATTTATTTTTCTTCTACTGAAATATATATAAGAGTTACTGTATATCTTATACAATTTTCTTAGTATACTAAGTATTATATCTGTGATATTCTCACAATAACTCTGTAGTCTATAAGCTCACTATTTAAGAAAGATAGTTAAGCTTATTTATATAGCTTCTTAAATAATTACTTCTATATAATACTACTAACTAGTCACTGCTTCAGTTTTATTATATTACAATTCAAATCACTTAATCTGATTATACATTTGAATTAGTTGAGCTCTAACAGATTAATATAATCTTATATACTTATACTGAGACTGATCTGATCTCATTCTCTGAGATAAATACTACATCATTCTCTAGAGTGTGTACATCTCTATCTTAGCAGAAATCTGAGATTTCTGAACTCACTGTATATTTTAGTATAAGCTCTTTAATTACTCTGTTATCACTGCAGTCTCTACACATCTACATCTATTATAAAGATAGAGAGATTAAGATCAGAGATTCTCTGAGATATAAGAAAAACATCTTATCTGAATTTCACAGCTTTATTCATATTCTTAAATGAAAATTCTGTCTTAATCTGAGTCAGTATAATACTTATAAGATATAAGTAATATACACTGTTAATCTTCTTGAAGACATCTCTGCAACTACTTGAGTTATTAAGAAGAGAGAGCTTGAGTATATCAATACTATTATAACTTAGAAAGAATTCAAGAACTTTCTACTAAATTAAATCAAAGACTATTATAACTACAGCTTCACAGCAGCACAGTAATTTAACTCATTATATTAATAAGATAATAAGAATTCTTTCAATTTCAATGTAAGATTTGAAGAATATTAAGAGAAATTAACTGATAATTTGAATCAATTAAAAACACAGCTTTATCTCACAAAGCTGACTTATAAGATACAGATAATAATATTATAATATCAGAGTTTATTAATTAATCACACTGAGCTTGTTAATCTAACTTCTCAGATCTATTTAAATAATCAATTCTCTGAGAAAAAGATTAATAAGATCTCTTTTAAGTAATTAATAATAGAATTTAAACAGCACTGTGACAGCTTCAGTGTAGAGAAAATAAAGAAGAATTTTAAGTATTCTAATTCTTCACTCACTGTAAAGAAATATTAAAAAAGATTTAATAAAGATCTCTATTTTAACTGCAGAGCTGATAAACACTATATCAGTAATTGTAAGAAGCTGAAGAAGAGAAGAAACTAAAAAGATATTTTCTTAAAGTTAACTTCTCTTCTAACAAATGTATTCATGAAAGATAATGAAGAGAAAGAAATAAAGAATTAATAATTCTCATATCTCTGAGTTTATATTATAATCATAATATATACTCTGAATAAGAAGATACTAGTAAGATATTTACTCAACTCTGAAGTAGATACTAACTTCATATTCTATTTCTTTTCTTTGATAAAGAATTGAAAGAAGATAGATCTGTCAGATTATATAAAATTTACTAATAAAATAAAATATCACTGTTTTAACATAATTTAAGCAAAGTATATAATCACAGACTCAGAAGAAATCTTCAAGAAAAGTAGTCTACTTCTTTATATAGTTAATATTATAGATAAGAATATCATTCTAGATCTTTTATAATTGAGAGAAAACAATTCTCTTATTAACTGAGTTACTCAGATATGACAGTATCATCTTACTGATGAAGAGATAGTGATAGAGAAATCTGAAGAGTTTCATCAGAAGAATCTTGAGAAAAAGATTGAGTTAATATACTATATAGCAGATGATTGAGACTTGAAGATAGATGAAAAAGTCATCACTCTTACTACAAGATTGACAGCAGTATTTATTATTAAAGATGAATATATACAACATTTCTTTACAGATTTTAAAAATGTCTTTTCAGAAAGAGAAGCAGCAAAGTTTCCTGATATCAAGATATAATATAAGATTTATCTTAAAGACAGTGTAACAGTGCTATACAGATCTCTTTAAAACTTATCTATAAAGAAATTAAATATTCTGTATAAATATCTTAAAGAAGCATAATCAAAGAACTGAATATATCTATTAAAAAGTTCAGTAGAGATATTTATACTCTTTATATCTAAGAAGAATAATAGACTACATCTATATATAGATGTAACGTGGCGGAACCGAAGCAGTGACTAGTCAGCAGTATTATATAGAGGTAGTTGTTTGAGAAGCTGTATAAGTGAGCTTGACTATCTTACTTAAATAGTGAGCTTGTAGACTACAGGGTTATTGTGAGAATATCACAGATATGATACTTAGTATACTAAGAAGATTGTATGAGACATGCAGTAACTCCTGTGTATATTATTCTCATAGAAGAAAAAGACAAATTGCTAACTTCTTAAATGAGAAGCCAGCATCTAGCTATTCTATATAGACAATGAGCAGATACTCTTCTCTCATTTCACAAGTAAGAATAGCTGAAGTGATACCTCAGCAGTGTCTCATTGCTAAGAAAGAGTAATCTGCTGATCTCATATAAAAGTGAGGTTCTCATATTCATCAATCAGATCTTTCTATGATATATTCAAATGATATCATAGAGTGATTGAAAACCAGTTCAGACAGAATGAAATTATTCACATGAAAGTAATGAGCTGTGTGAAACTGTAACAGAGTCTTGACACAGTTGAAAGTGTGATAATACTCTTTTCTTTAAGAGCATAGTCTCTATACTCTCAAGATTATCAGATTAGAAATTATCTTTGTTGTATAGCAACAGTTGTCAACTGATTTGACAGCATATGTGCTGCATATGATACAAAGAAATAGGTGAGTTTTTCTACTGACTGTGTAGATCTTCCTTTCTCATCTTCATTCAAATCAAATGTGTAATAAGTGAGTTTCTTATATATTGATTTGAAATGTGGAAAACATAGTTAATAAGTGACTTACAGATCTTTCAATATATTTCATTCTATATATGAAATTCTCTGCAAAAGTGATGTGTTTTTAGAGACAAAGCTAACAATAGTGACAGAATTTTTTAAAAAGATTCTTCTTCTCTGTGAAACATTTTTCTTTTCTCTTTCTCAATTGCAACAGTAAGTGCATGAGAGTATTGTTCTTGAAGAATAATTAAGAGCTTATTCTGATGTTTTCTAGTGAATAAATGTCTTTGTAATGCAGCAGCAGTCTCTGTGACTGCTAAAAAAGTCAGGTTGAAGGCAGAGATAGCAGTGTCAATGAGCTGTGAGAGCATCACTCTTATTATTAGACTGACCGTGTGACCGTGTCTGGGACCAGGACCAGATTTTTTGATAGTCCCATTACCAATTCGACTGATCCCATTACACGGTTTTAACATTAGATAGTAGTCTCATACTGTCCCAGTGGGACTTACTGTCTACTCTTGTCACATTTTCCAAATGGGACCATGATTTCCACTTCTCAATTTAAATTATTTTTATTGCTTTAAATGACTTTAAATCTCATTTGAGCATTACCAAAAAGCGTTACTTTTTAAAAAATTAAAAATAGTCTAAAAAAAACCTTAAAATGTCTAAAAATAGTAACTTTATGCCAAGAATGGGACTAAATGGGACCAAATGGGACCACTTTCTCATTTTTTTCAAGTCATGGTCCCATTTTAAAATCTGATATATAGTCACTTTGCATGTTTTTTTGATAGCCAGTCCCAGCGGGATTCACGCCAAGAAATGTATGAGACCAGACC